AGCTCAGCACGTTCCTGCGATACTCCGGCGACTTCAACACCTGGAAGCATTATTTTGCGGCGCGCGCAAAATGCATGCCTGTTTTCGGCGCCATCCGGCCCCACGCCGTGGCATCGGCGAAGCAGCTAGCCGCCCACTTGCGGTTCTCTGGCGATGTCGTCTTCAAGGATGCAGTCGGCAGCAGCGATCAAGAGTACAGTGGGTCAGAGGGCGAGCCGGGGAAGCCGGGCGGGCAGACGCAGGCGGGGCGGAAACGCAGCAGCGTGTTGTGCGAGGAAGCGCTGGATCCGGTGGAAGATGAGCCATTCTTCCGCAAGCGCGGTAAATCGACGGTGCCGAAGCCGCACTACCTCAAGGTGCCGCATGGCCTACCACCTGGGGCTGCGCCAGCTCTCCAGCTGGGTAGCGCGCCAGCACCCTCCACGTCCCGGTCCATGAAGACCAAGGGCACCACGCACAGCAACAGCTCCACCGCTACAGGCACAGCGGCGCTACCGGCCGAGAAGGTGGCCAGTGGCCACCTCTTCATGCACAAGGGCAGGCACTACGTGAAGCGGATGGAAGTCTGCCCCGCCTGTCCCCCACATAACGTCACGAACCGTAAACACCTACGAGAGCCACCCTGTTTACGCGACAAAGCCGGCAAGATTCGCATGGCGGAGTAAAGCCACAGGGCGGCGGGATCCGGATGGAGGCACCAGCCACGCGAACTTGGATTTGATGCAGCCTCTGCTGCACCCGGTGTGGCCACCTCCGTGGAGCACTGGAGCACGGCCCGGGCCACCTCTGTGGCCGGGCGGGGGGACGCCTCGCTGCCACCTCTGTGGCACGGGCGTCACGGTGTGGTCCTCGCTGCGCGCCTCGCTGCTGTAGAACACGTTTGGAAACTGGACTTTGCGAACGCTACAGACCCGGACCTTTTCTCGCCATTGTGAAGGGTGTGACTCACCAGAAAGCACAGAAATTATTGCAGGCACTCCGGCGGTCCCGACCACCCCAGCAGCGGGCTTTGTGGAAGATTTGTGTTCGGGCGACAAAATCGTTTGTAGAAATCAGCACGACAAATCGTATCGAAATGAAGTGACTCAATCAGGTACCAGCAGGGCGGAAACGTGCGCCGGGCGCTCCTGCCGCCAGCCAGGTACCTAGGTTAACGCATTTAGGTCATCACATTCTAGGTTACGCAGTCAGCATGCGGGCGCGCAACCTCGTGAGGACCGAGATGGGGGGGCCGCCATCTGTGGCCCCATCTTTGTTGCCCCGTGGCCAGCCCTCGCCTTAGCTAGTTAGGTACAGGTAAGTACATATGTTGATTCATTTTGCCCTCGTGGTCCGAATCGAGCAAGCTTGTCTCCTCGCAGCCACGTGGCCTCGCCTCCGGCCCTGTGAAAGCTGCAATCCGACGCCGGTCGGAAACAAGCGACTTAGGACTCCCGCGCGGGCAGATTCTTGACCCGATGCACGGCCCGGGGTCGGGGGACGAGTTTTAACAGAGCGGCTGTGGGACTTTCGCTACGAATCCCGATGGTAGGGTGAAGACCAACGGTCGGAAGCCTCCCGAGCTGTCCTCTCTGCACTGCCGCCCTGTTTACAGCGACCAACGGCGCGCGCGGACCAATCAGCGTGCGAAGCAGTATGTTTACACACGTTAGCGTGATCTTCAAAGACTTTTACTGTGTGCTCTGATTCCATGGATGTCCGCGTTGTTGTTGCCCATCCATCCCGATTCATCATGACTTGCATGACAATTCGGCAGTAGTCCTCATATCTCCCGCACATGTCACTGTCGCTCATGACCTGCGTCAAAATTCGATAGTATTTCGCTCATGACTTGCATCAAAGTTCGATAGTATTTCCTAGACCTCCCGCACATGTCACCCGCAGTAAGTCGATTTCAGCCAGCATCTGCTTCTTCTTGATCCGCAGTGTCGCGGCCGTGTTTCTCCAAAAAATACAGGTATAGTACCAAACTAATCACTCATGGTCCACCCGACTTGCCCGGCCTCCCCGCCAGAAGGCCCGGAGACACCCGCACGGCCGTGCACGCAGCTGGCGCATGCGATCTACGAGGCGGTGCGCTTTGTGCAAGCGGCGATTGTCATCGATAAAGCGGCCACAAGACTGCGGGACCGGCTCAAGCAGAACATGCGGGACGCAAAAGCTTCACCGTTTCACTGGAAGGAACGCCTCCGCGCCGCCATCACCGAGCTCAAGGAGGTGCAGGCCCGCACGGAGGGACCAAATAAGCAGCTGGTGGAGCAAGATGCCCCGCAGCACCTTCGTCCGGTCTTGACCATGGACGGCATCGCCCGCAATGTTCTCGCAATGCGGGAGCTCATCGCCCTCATAGGGCACCCGGACGTCGACTTCCCGAGCAGGGTGCTCAAGGGCTTCGAGTCGATAGGCAACACCGACGCAACGGGCCTCTTCCCAGACGACCCGAAGGCCACGCTGCAAGGACCCGACGACGCCGCGCTCTTCTTCCAGGCCGGGGTAACCCTCCGGACGCACAAGCCTTCCGGTTTCCCCGACCACTTGCTCGATGCCGTATTAGACGAGCAAATCGCGTTCGTAAAACGCGGGTGGAGCATCCCGGTGGACCCGGAAAAGCTCATATGCCAGCCGGCATATGTCTTTCCAAAAGACGAGTCCACGGAAGTGCGGCAGAAGGTGCGCTGCATCGTCGACAGCCGGGCAAAGAACGAGCACTCCGTTCTGCGCGAAAAGATTGCTCTCTATGGTACGAGAGTGCTGCAGGAAGTGTTGGCGGGGTTAATGGCGCCCATCGGGCAAGAGGGCGCGGCGGCACGCATGCCGGTCACCACAACTTCGCGCGGAGCCAATGCCACCATGCAAGAAAACCTGGCCGCCTACAAGCAGTGGCAGGCGGACGGGGAACAGCGCAAGCCAGCCACGCGGGCCCAGCTGCTCACCAGCGTCCGCGAGGCCAACGACCTCCTGCAAGAGGAGGCCACCCACCACAACGGCGTCGCGGAGGCCGGCTCTGAGGACGTTTCCAAAGCTTACCACCAGCTGGGGGTGAGCAGGCCCGACCACTGCCCCATCGGGGTTTGGTCGAACGTGAAGGCGGCCTATGTTTATTTTTTGTCGGTGGTTTTGAGTTTTGGTTGTTTACACTCCGTACCCAACTGGGTCCGTGCAGCAGAGCTCTGTATGGCGATCGGCATGTACTACGGGTTGATAACAATAATATACGTAGACGATGCTTATTTTTTCGCACTAGATCGCGAAGGCGCCGAGCTGTCTCGGGCCCTATTCCGGCAGATTGCGGCGACGTTGGGCATCGTCCTCAGCACCAAACCGGGCGCGCAACAGCTCTCAACAGAGGGCAACTTCCTCCGAGCCCTGGGCATTCACTACCAGTGGCACAGGTCCGCGACCAACACGACCATCCGCATCACGGTGCCGGGGGAAGCGATCACCAAGGGCACCGCCGCCATTGACGCGCTCTTGCAGGAAATCCACAGCGGTAAGATGGTGCTGAAGTCGGTCCAGCGGGTCCTGGGCCTGGGTAACTACATCGTCTGCAATACGTACTTCCGGGCGGGCTCGGAGCTTTTCCGGCACCTGTACGACTGGGCGGTGGCGGACCGCTTCGAGAAGATGCGGGGTGACCGCAAACAGCGCCGCCAGCTGCAATCCGTCCTGCTGGCAGTGAGGTCCCTCCTGCAAGTGGTGGTCCCCATCGACATCTCAAAACAGCCGCGGCAGACTCGCATCGCCTTCATGTGGCTGGATGCGTCATCCGATGGATCGCCAAGCGGCGGGCCGATGGGGGGTGGGGTCCTCATCACGACTGAGGGCGTATTTGCGTTCTCGTACGAATTCCCGGTGGACCGGATCGCCCGGTGGTGGCCGCACAAGCTAACCATCGAGCACTACGAAACCATGACGGCCAGAATCGCGCAGATCACCTGGCGCCGCCACCTCACCGGCGCGGCGGTCTTCGGCAAGATCGATAACAGCGGGGAGCTGTTTGCGCTGGTCAAATGCAGCGCCAAGAGCCAGCTCACCGCCAACCTGGCCGCCAACGTAGCCGTGGCTGCGCACTCGATGCGCATGACAGTTTGGTGGGAGTATGTGAAAAGTGAGTTGAACATCAGCGACCCGTTCACCCGGGCCGCTCTTATGCCGGAAGCAGTCCGCACACTGCGGCCCAGCATGTGGCAGGTCCCGGAGATTGACTGGCAGCGGGAGTTTGCCCCGCCACAACTCCCCCAACCTTACGCACTCCCGGGGGAACGCCCAACGAAGGCGCGCAAGCGCGAGAAGAACTGAAGCACGCGAGAAGCGCGTGCTCATCGTAAAACTCGAGTCATGTCCTGACGTCTCTGACGCGAATTTTTTTTTTCAGATCTATGTAGCGGCACTTAATTATATCCAGCGGGTGCGTGGAGTCCCTCTTCGCCGGCGCAGTGACCGGCGAGCCACCAAACCCGGCCAACCACCGGCACAGGCAACCCGTCACCGCCCGTCGCAACCTCTGTTGTGGTGAACTTGGATTTGATGCAGCCTCTGCTGCACCCGGTGTGGCCACCTCCGTGGAGCACTGGAGCACGGCCCGGGCCACCTCTGTGGCCGGGCGGGGGGACGCCTCGCTGCCACCTCTGTGGCACGGGCGTCACGGTGTGGTCCTCGCTGCGCGCCTCGCTGCTGTAGAACACGTTTGGAAACTGGACTTTGCGAACGCTACAGACCCGGACCTTTTCTCGCCATTGTGAAGGGTGTGACTCACCAGAAAGCACAGAAATTATTGCAGGCACTCCGGCGGTCCCGACCACCCCAGCAGCGGGCTTTGTGGAAGATTTGTGTTCGGGCGACAAAATCGTTTGTAGAAATCAGCACGACAAATCGTATCGAAATGAAATGACTCAATCAGGTACCAGCAGGGCGGAAGAGGAGGAGGAGGAGGAGGAAGAGGAGGAGGAGGAGGAGGAGGAGGACCACCACCCCCACCAGGAGGAGGAGGAGGACCACCATCAATATCAGACACAAGCGTCGAACCCGGCGTCGAAGCAGCCACCGTGGCTGTGGCAGGGGCACCAGCAGCAGAGGTAAATCTTGGCTAGCAAAATTCGATTTAATAAAAGAGATTCGCTCATCATAACTCCCGTCCTTTAGTGCGTCGAGGTATACGCCATAAGGCCGCCTCGCTGGCGCCGTTTTCACTTTTTAGCCTGTTTTGTTTGTCATGCACGAACAGCTTCGCGCTCGTCCATGATAAAGGCTTTGAACGGAAGTTGAGGCACTTGCCTCAACTTCCAAAAGCGGAGGTTTGTCCTGCACGAACAGCTTCGCGCTCGTCCATGATAAAGGCTTTGAACGGAAGTTGAGGCACTTGCCTCAACTTCCAAAAGCGGAGGTTTGTCCTGCACGAACAGCTTCGCGCTCGTCCATGATAAAGGCTTTGAACGGAAGTTGAGGCACTTGCCTCAACTTCCAAAAGCGGAGGTTTGTCCTGCACGAACAGCTTCGCGCTCGTCCATGATAAAGGCTTTGAACGGAAGTTGAGGCACTTGCCTCAACTTCCAAAAGCGGAGGTTTGTCCTGCACGAACAGCTTCGCGCCCGTCCATGATCTGGTAACCAAAGCGTGCGCAAGCGCTCGCAGCGCGAAGGCTTTGCCGTTACCATATGGGAGGAACTCCGGGGTATGCAACCAGTCGCAAAACCGGGCATTACTAAGGGTGTTTCGCCTTCAGAAAGCGGATCGGGCAGAATTTGTGGGAATTTTACCGAAAGCAGCCAAAAAAACAATTACTAAGCGGGGAGAGCGTAAAAAATAGCAGTTTTGCAGCTCCGCCCGGTCTGATTCTGAAAAAAAAAAGTGGTATTTTCGGCTAGGGCCGATGGTGTGATGGGTCTTCTAGCGAAAAATGCGTCACGTGCAGGCAGCTCCAGCCGCTTGGAAATTGAAAAAAAGTGCTCAAAAAGTGCGTTTTTTCGCAGCATGCAAGCGGGCGAAAAAATTTACCGATTTTCCACAGTCCCCGGAAAACGCTTGGAAATTGAAAATGACATTTTTTGCTGAAAGAGCAAAAGCTGCTTACAAATTGCCGCTCAAAAGAGGTTCGCAAAATTTTCCGCAGGCCCGTACTACCGGGATTGGACGAAGAAAAACCAACTATCAAGCCTGTGGAGGTGTGTCACACGGGCACGGTTTTCGACCTCTCTGAGGTCGCAAACTGGAACCCTTCCCCCGCTCAGACAAGCCCGATCCGGGTGGCCCAAAAGGCCAGCCGGAAATGAACAGGAGTGCGCCACTTTTTGAAATTCATGCATTTTACCTGGCCAGCGTGCCCTCGTGCAGAACGTTATGCGGGACGGCCTAGCGGCCTTCAGAAAAGACTTTTGCCGCAGGGGCGCCTCCTGCTTCGGGTTTCGACGCCTCCCACGCCAAGAGTGCAGACGGCGGTGGTGGGCCGGTTGCGACGTCGGTGAGTTTTCGTTTCTGATACTCCTTCCAATGATCGAACATGCTCATTGGAATTATGAGCATGTTCTTGACGGACACCAGCAGAGAAAACTACTGCGTCAGGTTTGTATTGATTTCGATCGTGTACAAGAGCCGCGCCCTCGCAACGTCAAACAATGCAAACAAGAGATTTCCTCGTGTTCGTGCATGACAAAGTTCGTAAACAGAAGTTGAGGCACTTGCCTCAACTTTCAAATTCCGAGATTTGTCATGCACGAGCCCCCTAGTGTTCGTACATGACAAAGTTCGTAAACGGAAGTTGAGGCACTTGCCTCAACTTCCAAATTCGGAGATTTGTCATGCAGGAGCCTCTTCGTGTTCGTGCATGACAAAGGTCGTGAGCGGAAGTTGAGGCACTTGCCTCAACTTCCAAAGTCCGAAACTTGTCATGCACGAGCCTCCTCGTGTTCGTGCGCGACAAAGGTCGTGAGCGGAAGTTGAGGCACTTGCCTCAGCTTGCAAATCCGGAGGTTTGTCATGCACGAGCAGCTTCGCGCTCGTCCATGACAGAGACCGCGAACGGAAGTTGAGGCACTTGCCTTAACTTCCAAAAGCGGACGCTTGTCATGCGCGAGCAGCTTCGCGCTCGTCCGTGACAAAGACCTCGAACGGAAGTTGAGGCACTTGCCTCAACTTCCAAACTCGGAGGTTTGTCATGCACGAACAGCTTTGCGCTCGTCCATGATAAAGCCCTTGAACGGCAGCGGAGCTGGGGCACTTGCCTCAACTTCCAAAAGCGGAGGTTTGTCATGCACGAACAGCTTCGCGCTCGTCCATGATAAAGGCCTTCAACGGAAGTTGAGGCGCTTGCCTCAACTTCCACAAGCGGAGGTTTGTCATGCGCGAACAGCTTTGCGCTCGTCCATGATAAAGCCCTTGAACGGAAGCTGAGGCACTTGCCTCAACTTCCAAATTCGGAGATTTGTCATGCAGGAGCCTCTTCGTGTTCGTGCATGACAAAGGTCATGAACGGAAGCTGAGGCACTTGCCTCAACTTCCCAATTCGAAGGTTTGTCATGCACGGGCCACCTCGTGTTCGTGCATGACAAAGGCCGTGAACGGAATTTGAGGCATTTGCCGCAATTTCCAAATTCGGAGGTTTGTCATGGACGACCAACCTCGCGCTCGTACATGACAAAGGCCGTGAATCACACTTGATAGCGGGATGCGGGTCCCCTGAGATATGCGGGCTCTGGAGGAGCGCTCCGGGTGCTGCTCCAGGCGTGCTCTGCTGGTGGAGCGCTCCATGCATTCACTACCGTGCGCTTTCGTTAAAGCAGTTGCCCTGTGTCCAGCTGCAGCGAGCGCGCGCCGCGCGAAGGTGCCGCCAGACACCGGCGGCGGTACTCACACGCCTCTTATTTCATACTTACACAGCCCCACACTTAGCAGGTGGGCAAGCTCTAAACATCAGGCGACATTCCTGCCTTGCTCGTGCGCACACGTGCGTAGGCCTCTTGGCTTTTGCCTTGAGGTTTAGGGTCGGACCGCTCTCAGCACTGCTGAAGCTTTAGAACCAGATGGGAGCGCACGCCCGGACGGATCAGGGCGCAAGGCTTTACTAGCGCTTTTTGACCATTAGACTTGCCAAGTCTTTCCTATTTGCTTCCTGTCTTTCCCGGGCCCTGCTGGCACCAAGCAGCTTTTTTGTGGGAAAGGGGGCGCGATGCCATGTCGCCATTTTATATATACGGAGTTTTGACATTGACACGTGTGTAAGTGTCTTGTTTTTTGTCTGACCCTGGAGTACACAGCATGCGTATTGCGCGCCCTCCTCAGTACTGACGCGACCTTCCAGCCATCTCTCCTCCAATTCTTCTTCCCCTCCGCCCCCGCTTCACCTCTCCGTCCCGGTTCCGCTGTCTGTTCCGGAAGGGTTCATGGGTTTAGGGGTTTAGGGTTCTATTTGATCGCAGTATTCCTGCATTTGGTTTTTATTGATTTCGATCGTGTACAAAGGCCGCGCCCTCGCAACGTCAAACAATGTAAGCAAATGTTTTGAGCCTCCACGACGAAGTGGAAGTGCACAACAGGAACGACAGCCATCCGATGGCGTGCGGTATTAAAGGGCCTGAGACCTTTGCAGAAGGGTCCAAAGGGATCGCACGTTGATCCGGAAGTCGTAGCGTGAATGCCAATGCAGTATGCTGATGCTCTCGTCAGCGCGTCACAGACACAATTGCAATCTTCACAAATTATGGTCCACAACAGGCAAAAAGGGCTGCAGATGGAGGCGGTGCAGGATCCGGGGAAGGAGCAGCAGCAGCAAAATCACTTGGGGTGGAAACGGAGATTTTTGCCGCAGGGGCACCTCCTGCTTCGGGTTTCGACGCCTCCCACGCCAAGAGTGCAGACGGCGGTGGTGGGCCGGTTGCGACGTCGGTGAGTTTTCGTTTCTGATACTCCTTCCAATGATCGAACATGCTCATTGGAATTATGAGCATGTTCTTGACGGACACCAGCAGAGAAAACTACTGCGTCAGGTTTGTATTGATTTCGATCGTGTACAAGAGCCGCGCCCTCGCAACGTCAAACAATGCAAACAAGAGACTTCCTCGTGTTCGTGCATGACAAAGTTCGTAAACAGAAGTTGAGGCACTTGCCTCAACTTTCAAATTCCGAGATTTGTCATGCACGAGCCCCCTAGTGTTCGTACATGACAAAGTTCGTAAACGGAAGTTGAGGCACTTGCCTCAACTTCCAAATTCGGAGATTTGTCATGCAGGAGCCTCTTCGTGTTCGTGCATGACAAAGGTCGTGAGCGGAAGTTGAGGCACTTGCCTCAACTTCCAAAGTCCGAAACTTGTCATGCACGAGCCTCCTCGTGTTCGTGCGCGACAAAGGTCGTGAGCGGAAGTTGAGGCACTTGCCTCAGCTTGCAAATCCGGAGGTTTGTCATGCACGAGCAGCTTCGCGCTCGTCCATGACAGAGACCGCGAACGGAAGTTGAGGCACTTGCCTTAACTTCCAAAAGCGGACGCTTGTCATGCGCGAGCAGCTTCGCGCTCGTCCGTGACAAAGACCTCGAACGGAAGTTGAGGCACTTGCCTCAACTTCCAAACTCGGAGGTTTGTCATGCACGAACAGCTTTGCGCTCGTCCATGATAAAGCCCTTGAACGGCAGCGGAGCTGGGGCACTTGCCTCAACTTCCAAAAGCGGAGGTTTGTCATGCACGAACAGCTTCGCGCTCGTCCATGATAAAGGCCTTCAACGGAAGTTGAGGCGCTTGCCTCAACTTCCACAAGCGGAGGTTTGTCATGCGCGAACAGCTTTGCGCTCGTCCATGATAAAGCCCTTGAACGGAAGCTGAGGCACTTGCCTCAACTTCCAAATTCGGAGATTTGTCATGCAGGAGCCTCTTCGTGTTCGTGCATGACAAAGGTCATGAACGGAAGCTGAGGCACTTGCCTCAACTTCCCAATTCGAAGGTTTGTCATGCACGGGCCACCTCGTGTTCGTGCATGACAAAGGCCGTGAACGGAATTTGAGGCATTTGCCGCAATTTCCAAATTCGGAGGTTTGTCATGGACGACCAACCTCGCGCTCGTACATGACAAAGGCCGTGAATCACACTTGATAGCGGGATGCGGGTCCCCTGAGATATGCGGGCTCTGGAGGAGCGCTCCGGGTGCTGCTCCAGGCGTGCTCTGCTGGTGGAGCGCATGACAGTTTCCACAATTGCATCAGGCGGGCTTGGACGTGCGAAGCGAAATGGAACTCGAAACAACGCGAGCTGCGCGGACTGGCGAAGTTGCTGCTGGAGCTGTACCCTCAGACAAAAGGAGTAAAAACAGTCGTCGTGCACGATCATGAGACAAACAACGGCGCGTCGCTCGAGGCGAGCCTCGCGAGCCCGTTGATCTCCGACATCATGACTAGGGACATTTTGAAAATACGCAAAATAATCCCGCTCGTCTGGTGGTGCTGCCTCGGAACGAAAGCAATCCGCCTTGCAGACGAATTCTCGCGTTTGTTCAATGAAGATTTTCGGACTCCAGAACTGACAAAGCACATGACGACATGCAGGCAGCTGATGTACTTCTTGTTGAGCCCGTCTGTGCGCAACGACGAGAACTGGATGCAGGAACTCGCAGAGATCGAAAAAGTTTTTTTCCTGGACGACTACGACGAGAGCGACGAGAAAAACAGTGAACGCCCGCCCGTCGCATATGTCGGAAAACTATCTCCGGAGGAAGACATGCATGCTCGCCGCGTTGGAAAAATAGTAGAAGACTGCTGCATAGAATGCGAGGACGTCGACGATTTGTATACCGACATCGACGCCGTTTTTCTGAGCCACGATTGCTGCGCGGCCAAACCTGTAATGCCTGTGAAGCCAGAAAATCACGAGTCGAAACCAGTCCCCATCCCGCAGGACCCGCTTGTGCTGTGGCCGGACCCAGAAGTCCTGACGATTCCCACGCGGATTTTCCAGAAACAAGACCGCAGTGTGCACACGTTGCACGAGTGCAACAACTTTGTCGTCGAGTATGACCTCATAGAAAACGGGAAGAAGCAGAAAAGGAGCAAGTGGCTTCAGGCGCGTGCGCACGGTGGCGAGCTGCAGGCATACACGGCGATGTGTCGTTTCACGCGAGCAATGCTGCGCCGGAGCTGGAAGATTGGCGACCAGTTGGAAGTCGTCGATGGTTTCCACGGCGACGCGAGCCGGCGACTTCTTGTCATTGATCCGCTAGTGACGAAAATCGGGCCAATCGCCGCCGATATTGTCCCGAGACAGGTGCAGTTCCACAATTGCATGCTGTGTGACAATTTCACCATCGAAAAGTCCGTCGCGGGAATACAGCACTGCGTGTGCCACGGGCATGGTGAGTCAGCTGCAGTTGTCGTTGCGCCCGATCCTGCGGCTCCCAACAAGGGCCCTGCTACACAACTGACAAAGTTCTGGATCAGGTGCCCAGCGCTCGTCCACGAGTTTGCCCAACGTTTCGTGTTCACGGATGAGAATGAAGAGGGCATTGCGTCGGGCCGACTAGCGCTTGAAGGCGAGCCAGCAGCGAACGCCGAAGTCGAGTTCCTGCCTGAGGACAAGAATACCAGCGCACCCAAGCCCATCAGCAAACAAGACAAGCCGAAGTGGGAAGATAGCGATCTCTCTGACTCGAGTCTAACATCTGGCGGCTCACCTCCGAACAAAAGATCTCGCGAAGCGAGCAGTGAAGATAAGGCAAGACATGCAGCAGAAGAGCACCGCGCGAAGCTAGAAGCAGAAGTCGATGCAGACCAGCAAGAGTACCTCGACGAGGAGCTTGCAAGAGAGGTGAAGCAGCAAGACAACTCTGTGATCCAAGATAAGTTGTGCCGCGGAGTTTCCGTCTCCGGGCTCTCGCTCGCTTTTCTTCCGAAGCCGGTCGGTGACCCGCCGAGATGGCCGCACCAGGATTACGCCGACCAAAGCGAGATAATCGGTCTCGAGTTTGACGGTCCCCGGCGAATAGTAGGTCTCAATGCGGGAAATAAAGGACTGTACGTCGGCGGGGGTGGGCTGAGCAAGGGTTTCAAAGACGATTTCAAGCGTTGGAGTTTATCGGTACAAGAAACGAGTAGCAGGCTCAAGGAGATCAGCAAAATCGGCAAAGCAGCACAAGGACAGGTAGTAAACAAAGTATACAAGACAGCCGAGGATGCTACTGTGTCGCGCGTTTGGGCAATCCAACCCGCCAGCAGCACGCTGTGTTTCACCGCGCTTGTCGAGTTTTGCGGTTCGGAATGCATGATGCTCTACGTAGTCGCACCCGACGGGCGCGAGGAAGAGCGACTCGTCTACGAGGAAGGGCTACGAACAGTGTCAACAAACGTCGTCCGTCTGCTTGCGCATTATGAGCAACAACGCGACCCGCCCGAGCCGGATATCGCTGCTGTGCTGATCCCGTTGTACGGAGGTGGGATTTTCCGGCCAGCACGGTATCTCAAGAACAAGGTCGCGTCCAACATCCTCGCGCCACTGTTCCAACAGATCAGGAAAGAGCCGCAAGCAGTCAACGTCACGTATATTTTCGCTTACGATGACAACGTCTTCGCGTCTGAGTACTACAAGAGCGCCACATCCACACAGCAGCAGCAGAAACCAGCGAAAATTTTGCACAAGCTTGCTGCCGTGAAGGCGGCAGGCGGCGCCAAAGCCGCTGCAAAGAAGAGACCAAAATCAAAAGCGAAAGCGAAGTCGCAGCCACAGGCGAAGCCGAAAGCAAAGCAGCCCGCTGCTGTTGCCGCTGCCGCGGAACCTCCGCGTGCAGTCGAGAGCGAAACTCTGCTGCCGCCGCTCGACGATGAGGAGACTGGAGATGCGAAGGCCAAGACGGAAGAGCATGGATATGAGGAGTATCCTTTCGAGGAATATGCGGAGTCTGAGTTTGTGACCGAGGTCGAACAACAGACCGCTGTTGAGCTCAAGGGACAGGACGTAGAGCTGATAAAGAATTCCTTCGCCGGGCTCAGCTCCGCCGGGAAGCTCTTCGTGATAACCCCAGAGAAAAACGAAATCGACGTTCCAGTCGACATCGCCGACGCCGATGCGGCAATAGTACTAGTAACCGGGAAGACACACTCCAAGTACGCCGATGTCCGATTTTTCCAGACGAGCGGAACGACTGTCGACATTCCCCGCCGGTTCAGACAGAACGCAGTAGTAATTGCGGCATACAACAGCGAGGAAGTCCAGGCAGGTTTTTGTGACCAGGAAGTCACTTTGTTCCTCCATGATCTCGATTTCCGGCAGCTTGTAGAAAAACAAAAAACGTGTGTCGAGTACGGCGATGTGTGCGCTTCACTTGCTGGAAAAGCGCTCTCCGCTGCAGCAAGCCGGAAGGCGACAGTCACGGACGGAGAGTTTTCGCTGTGCAGCAGCCTCATGCTCTACAAGAGGCGGATTTATCTTCCGAAGCAGGCGCAGCCGGACGTCGAGGCCGGTGATCCGGCTCTTGGTAAGCAGAAGACACGCCTGCGTATCACCGTGCTGATCAAAATTCACAGACGATGGGCATTGCACTCGAAAGCTGCTGCAACTGCCGAGGTCGCAACGCAGTACTTCGCGTGCCCGTCGCTGTGCCACGACGTCGTGGCGGTGTGTAAAAGTTGCCGTGAGTGTTTTCTCTGGCACCAAGAGGAAGAGTTAGTCCGGATGTTCAACAACAATCCGAAGCCACGGAGTTTGTGGCGGGAAATCACAACTGACCACATTCCGAATCTTCCTCCTGTGACCATCGATAATGTCACATACACCACGATCCTTCGAGTCAAGGAGCGGCTAACCGGTGCGACTGTGCTCATCCCGTGCTCTTCAACATCTCCGCATGAGGCAGTGAACAAACTCGACCTCACGCTGTTCGGGCTCACCGGTTATCCTGCGCGAGTCGTTGCCGACGGGGCTTTCAAGCCAGTCAAGGGCGATTTTGCGCGGCGCGGGGCGTATCTCACAGTCAACAAGCCGGATGATGCACGCGGACGACAAGAAGCGGAGCGACCGAACGCCGGCTCGAACGAGAAATTCTACAAGAGCTGCGAGAAGAATAAAGACAACTGGCCGCACCTCTGTCCAATTATGTCGATTGTCGAAACGAACGCAGCACAAGATCAAAACTGCGGGAAGAGCGCTGCGGAACTCTTGCGCGGCCAGAAGCTCGCGCTGCCGGGCGCGCAGGCGTTTGCTGGCGCTGCAGAGCACGACAATTCGGTAAGAAACCAGGCGCAGTTAATAGAATTGGGTGGAGCCGCCCCCGGCGATTTGCTTGCTAAGTCCGTGCTATTTTTTGAAAGGCCCAATCATTTGCGCCAAGCCGCTGCGCCCCCGCGGGGCCACGCGCGGGCGCCCGGGCGGCGGCCCGGGGGGCAGCGCCTGCTTTCGAAGCGCCCCGGGCTAGGGTCGAAAGCGCGCCGGCCGGGCCTCCCGTCTTGCATGCGCGAGGGGTCGTGTCTCCTGCACGCAATGGGGCCCGCCCATCGGCCGCCCAAGGGCCGAGGAAGCCTGCCCCCCCCTTCGCGCGGCTTATCGTTTTGCTATTTTTTTTGCTATCTCCGATGCCCGCCCAAAATACAGGGGAATCGCAAAGGAAAAAAAAGTCCGGCGAAATAGCAAAGGCGGGCCGGAATTTTGGCGGAAATTTGGGAGGGGGGCATAGAGGGTGAATTAGCAAGGGGATTTAGCACGCGAATTAGCAAAGGAATTAGCAAGCGAATTAGCACAGGAATTAGCACGCGAATTAGCAAGCGAATTAGCAACGAAATTAGCAAGCAAATTAGCAAGGGTTGCGCGCGGAATTGGGCCAAAGAGGGGGGGTGGGGGAGGCTTGCTTTTTGGGGGTTATTTTCCTGGAAAAATTCTTGGACGGGCAAAAAAATAGCCGCGGTTTAGCACGGCCGCGGCCGGCAGCGGCTCCGCCCAAATAGAAAAAGCGCGCGGGTTCAGGGATATCCTGCCCGACATCGCGAACGAAAGGTCGAGGAAATCCACCGAACAACAACTCCAGCGACGCGGTGTTGTATCCGAGACGGAGATCCAAGCTGGAGACTTTATCATCAAAAGAGACAGCCACAAGACGAAGCACAGGCTCGAGCTCGGCCCCCAGAAGCACAGGATTGAACTCGATGAAGTCCTCCTCGTCGTCGAAAAACTCAATCACAACACGCTGCGCGTCATCAACGCAGTTCATTTCGACCTCGACGAAGGAGTTGTGTCGCTGTCTGGAGATCCCAAAGAAGTAGCGAAAATTGTGTCGGCGCGGCTGTGCGTCAAGATTTTGGTGAGCGAGTTTTTCATCGAATGTACGGCGCCGCGCCCGCTGTATCTCGACGGAGAACCTACTGGAGAGGATATCATTGGGCACAACCTGTTGTCGGGAAAGTACCTTGCGCGACAACTCGTTGATCAAGTTGTCAAAAGCAAAAACAAGAAGTCCGAGAAGTTGCGCCAGAAATACAAGGTCTTCGAGTCCGCCGCCCCGGTCGGGACCACGGAGATCCCTTTCTTGCAGTAGAAGAAAACGAGACAGCTTGCAGGCATCTTTCCTTCTCCTGATGCGCTGCTACGCTGACAAGATCCTCAACAAGTACAACTACAACGACAATAATGGACGACGATCACTACAATGATAAGACAAAACAGTATAACCATCACGATCAGCAATATTATCATCTTCTACATCTCACTTTCTTGCACAGCAACGAGCTTCCTTCTCCGGTCAGAGCGTGCCTTTTTCAAAAACAAAAAGCATGTTTCTTGTTTTCTACAACAGCGACAATCTGGATAAGCGACTAAATTTTCTTGCACAAGTTTGTCTTAGGTCAAGATGCAGAATGTCGAGTGAACAAATTAGATTAATCGAACACGGTTCCCGGGAATACCGGTCGCAACCTCGCCTCTTTCGTAGTAAGTCGTCAACAACATCAAGAGAACTAGTAAATTTTGTTCCTAATTACGACGTCGAAAACGATAACGACGAGGCGTGCGAGTTGTTACTTCGGCGAGCACGCGGGTTAGAGCGACCGGCTGTGGTAACCCCGCGCAACCGAAACAACACGGAGGTGCCCGGTCCGCCGCCGACGCGCCAAGGCAACCGCGTACAACGCCGGCGCTGCGACCTGTTTGAACAAAACGCGCTGCAGCTGCACCAGATCGAGGAGGTGCGAAGAGCGCAACAGGTGCAGCGTACAGAGGTCAGCCGCATCTTGCAGCGTCAAGACCAGCTGTTACAACAACTAACTCAACAATTGGCGGCGTTGCAGCAGGTGGCTCTGTACTCGGCGGGAACAACGGGACTCGACGCGAACAGTTTTTACTTCTAAGCAGTCTATCATGCTCCAGTGCAACCCGATGAACAGAGGGATAGAGCGGCGTATCGACCCGAGTGACGGAAGTGGTCCGCTCACAAGGCGCGGGCTCATGACCGCCCACGGAGTGAGGGAGGGGCTGCGCCTGTGGAACGCAGCGGCACCCCAACGAGAAGTTCTCCCTCCACCGCCGGAGCAGCAGCAACGACAGCTGCAAGATCAAGCTGCAGCACGGCGACACGACACAGCGGCACACGATCCAGCACGTGGACCCCCGCTGGTGTTCGGGGCGCCGTTGCCTGAAAATAACCCCAATAACAACTACGGTGTAAATCAAGCCGACCTCCTGCCGGCGGGTCGGGATATGCAAGAAACCCCTTCTTGCTATCGCGCGAATCCTTCGAGCCAGGAGGTACCCCGGTGACGGCGGCCTCGTGCAACGACTCCGCATATTTGCAAGCACAAAATATTGCGTTGTCGTCGCGACTCGACGCTACCACGGCGGAGCGCAATTTTTACGCCGAGCAGTACCAGCTGCCTGGAACGGGCTCTGCGGGAAGAGATGCAGGCGCATCTCACCGCGCCGGACACCTCTCCGCGTTTAAGCGAGATTCCAAGGAGAGGTGCTGAAAATCCGGATCGCAGAGATGTCCGTAGCTTTCTTCTGGGACTTCCTGCGAATCGACGAGCCGCGCCGCCAGGAGAATCAGTGCGATCGGCTGGCGTATTCAACTTCAGACACCGCCATCGGTGCGATTCGATCAGCCGAATTTCGTCCGAAGGAGGTTCCAGTGTGGAGGTAGAACGGGCGTTGCAACGCAATCTCCGCAGCCACCAGCTGCACCAGAGGCGTGTGCAGGCTGAGGGGAGAATGCAACGCAGCCACGAGGTCAGGACACGAAGTCGGCGGCTCGGAAGGAATTCGAGTACTGGTTTAGAACGGGAACGATCAACGGATCGCGCCTTAGTGGCAGACGCCGACCGTGTTCGGTTCCCAGGCCAGGAGGTAGATGAGCGAATTCGCGCTCAGCGCGAGGCTGAGCGCGAAGCAGAAGTCCAGAGGGACATCGCGCGCCTCAGGCGAGCGGCGCGCGGCCAGGGACGTCCCGGCTTTGGCTTCTCGTCAAACGACTCTGAAGCAACAAGATCCGAGACATCCAGCCGCGAAGAGGAGGATAGAGCTGAGGAGTGAAGTGCTGGAAGAGAAAATAAAAATTCCTACCTCTAAGATAATCCGCTGCTGGTCGCGATACCTTTTTCGAATACAAAGTAACAAATAATACGGAAAATCTCATATCAAAATACAAATAAACCATACAAAATTTCACACTTCTATGATTGAGAAATAAGACGTTTCTGTCCAATCACAGAAGGCAGTTGCGCATCACAAATAAGAAAAGTCCCACTTTCAAAAACAAAAAGATCCACGCTTCCTACAAGATCATTTACACATGCCTGTCGAAGCTTTATTTTCTGCTGTCGACAGGAGCATTGTGTTTTTTCCTATCGCAGCGAACCCCGGATCAGCCAGTACATTTATTTCAAAAATTTTCGGATTGTCTCCCCAGATCTTTCTGACAATAAATACAGCTTCTACTACACGTTCCAACAGCGACAAAGCCTAAGCGTTGTGCTGTGTGTGTCCAGTGCGTAGAATTAGAAATAACAACCAGAAATACAAAAATTTTTCATTCAGAAGCACCCTTGTGCTATAGAAATACATATCAGTTTTTTCAACTCAAAACTTTTTCTAGTTACATCGCAACTTTGCATTAAAAGTGACCAACTTAGTTTTGGGCTGTTCCATGGAGATGTGTGAAGAGAACGTGAAGTCCCTCCCCACGGTGTGGTCTTGTCCGGATGAGTTTTTTCATTCCGGCGAGACCACCATCTCCTACCCGCTCACTTCCATGTCGCAGTTCCTCAAAACCCGCGAGGCAGTCACGCGCTGCAAGGTTGAGGAACAAACGCGACAGCGTGAGTACGTGGAACACATGAAGACCCTCCCGAGCAAACACCAGCCCCGGATCTGCACTGTCGAGACCGTGATGGTCCTCGACATTGTTAAGACGTCCGAACGCGCTGCGTTCGAGGAGGGCTCTTGGTGGGATTATGTAGAAGATAGTTGGGAGGAGGCAAAAACAAAGGTGTACTCAAAATGGGACTCTACATATTCTACCGAGCAGTGGCAGGAGCAGTACTGGACTGACGACGCCAGTTACTGGACTCCATATCACCACTGGCATACCTGGGATGAGAAAGAAAATACCTCCCCAAGGTATAGCCTAAATGAAAAGCCTAAGGACTAAGCCACTAATTTTAAAACCATAGATAAAGTAGACAACAAGTAAAGAGGTGGTTGCTGTTCTACTTTTTTACTGTTAAATCTGAATCCTTCGTTACTGACATATCTTTTCTTATTTCTCTTCGTATCTTTATTTCTATCGAAGTCAAAACTGATTCTACAAAATTATGTCGATACAAAACAACAGTACGCAAAGTCTACCCATAGGCAGTACAGCAAAACCCTCATCATCCAAGCAATGCCCCAATTTTAAATACATCAGTAATTTTTTCTGGTGACGAATCATCACAGTAGTGCATGACAAAGTTCGTTTTAGGTCTTTCAAATAAAAAATCATAATCTCTTGGTACACAACAGTTTTGAAACAGATAGCGGTAAATAAAAAAAATAAAAAAAAGCATAAAATAGCATGCACCGCCGCGGTTACCCATTGCGTGACCCGGTCGCGCAACAGAAAAAGAGTTCTACCAGCACGAAAAAAGCCACCGTGTCTTGTGCTTCAGCTGTTGAGTCAAAAACTACTACCCTTGTTTCCAAAAAACTAAAAAACGCCAAAAAATAAGAAGCCAAAAAACACGTAACGACGCAACACGCAAGGAACTAGCCATCTATTGTTCAAGCCGGCCTGTTACTTCCAGTAAAAGAAGCGTAGTTTACGCAACGCGTTCTCTTCTCGTAGCGTTACAAAACTTCATCCGTCCACGTAGTGTTCGTTACCCGCTCCTTACTTGTTTCCTTTTCGTAGTTTCTACTTCGTAGTGTCACGAAAAACACATGCGTATTTTTCTTCTAAAAAACACCGGGGGGGAGGATGTAACTTGTCAGTACATCAAACCACCGGCGTTCCATTGGATGTCAAAAGAACGTTGTGAGCAAGCGTGCGTGCGAGAACGGAAAGAGAACTGAAAGTGAACTGGTGAAGATCCTCGCGCTGTCGTCGTTCGTTGAACAACAAACAATTGCGAAGCAAATGTGAACCCTTTAGGAAAGAGAGAGATTATTTGTGTCGCCAACACGCCGGTGCGGTTGGCAAGAAACTGGCCAGACGAAGTTGTGTCGTCTGTGCGTGTACGCTGCTGCTGGTTCGCGCAGCTTGTTCTTCGTAGATCCACGCTAGTTTCGTTTGCGTTCAAGATGATCACGAAGACTCACTACGTGTAGCGATCCAGTTACACATCATCGACGCTGTCGTCTTCTTCGAGCGGATCCAGATCCAGCAACTCCGCGACCGGGCGGACTACATCTGCGCACAGCCAGAGTGCACCGAAGAACAGCGCCAGGAGATCGAGTTTCTTCTGTTCAATGTGACGGCCTTACGCTACTCAACCCTGGGGAGCGGGGCTGGTTGCACAGTGTTGAAACAAGATCCAGAGAAAGGCACACCGATTGGCGGCATTTGCAGCAAGACCGCGTGCTCAATTTCGATGGGTGTTGCCGAGCACAAAGCGTACACAGATCCCGCCTGCGAATTGAAAGACGACACAGTAGCAATGGAGAGATTTGTAGATGATTCGGGTGGCATGAGTAGCGTTTTCTGTACTCCCTGCACCGACGAACTGATGACCGAAATGTCTTCAGGCGTCGAAGTAGAACTTGACAGGAAACTGCTGCCACGCGAAGACAGCACGAACACGCAGTACATGCGATGGCTCCACTATGATCTGAATGCAAAAATCCGACAGACGGACAAACGGATACAAATCGAAGCAGTTCTAAAATCCAAGCCATTGCAGACGAAGTTTCGCACCAATTCAGACATACAGTACTACACAGGGATCTTTCGAAGCCGCATGCTTTCAACGCTACGCGACGCAACAATAACACAGAGCAGCAAGATCATCCGTCTTCTTGGTGAGCTGCTTCAATGGATTGAGAACAAATTCAACTTCAAAATCTTACGAACTATTCTGCACAGCGTCGCCCGGTCTTCTCTAGTTGGTTACCCTAGTAGCCTAAAAGTCATCAGGCTGGCAACTTCTCTTCTTTCCGTTTGTAACGAAAAACCAGAACCACAAATAAAGCCCTACATCCTTACCATCATGCCGTCGAAACATGGCAAGGACAGCGACGGCTACTGGAGCAGTAGCAACCAGTGGTACGAACGTGCCCCGAAAACGGAAGAAGAGCAACGGTTTGCGGACTACTACCAGGTCCAGAAGATGTCCGACTACATTCGGGCAAACGAGAAGAAGATCCAGGAAGAGAAGCAACAGAAAGAACGTGTCGAGAAGTGCACCTCCTTGGCCGGCGCAATTTCCGAAGGAATCGAGAAGAACATTGGCAGTACTGGTGGCAGCAAGAGCGGCGACTTCATGATCACCAAAGAACAACTACAGCAGCAGTTCAACCAGTTCGGCGAAGCGCTCGCCGCTCGCTCCCAGCAGGAGAAGGAGCAGCTGCGCACCGAATTCCGCGGCGAAATCCATACGGCCGTCAACGCTGCCGTGACCGGGATCGTCGGGCAGATGCAGACGGGGTTTACCGCCATCACCGACACGTTGAACCGCATGCAGCAGCAGCGCGCTGCTGGTGCTGGCATGGCGGGCGTGCCGCCGTATGGAGGAGGGTACTATGGTGGCCCAGCCCCGGCCCCGGGACCGCCGATTGGTATCCCAGTCCCGGGACCGCCAGCTGGTGGTGCTGCAGGAGGAGTTGCTGCGGGTGGCCCCGTCCCCGCCGGTGGTGCAGGTGGTGTCCCAGCTGGAGGTGGTGGTCCCGCCCCTGCCGGAGGTGCCGGAGGAGCAGGTGGCATCCCAGCCGGAGGTGGCGCTGGCTCCCGCGCCCGGCCCGATCGGAGGCGCAGGTGGTGCCGGAGGAGCAGGTGGTGGCCCCGCCCCAGCCCCAGCTGCCGGTGGTGCAGGAGTCGGCGGAGTTCCCGTGCTGGCGATGGTCGGCCAAGCGAACGACGGAACCTTGATTCAGTACACGGTCGAAGACGTCAACAACAACACGAACAAGGTCCGGCTGTATGAGCTGCTGAGTGCGGCCGAGCGGCAAGCCCTGACCGCCAACAACACAGCCTTCGAGAACTGCGATACGCCGATCGAAACGAAGCTGGAAGAGTTCAACCGCGACGAGTTACGGGTCATCTACCAGCGGATCCATGCGGACCGACGGGCTGCGGCGTTCCCCGTCAATGGTCCGAACCAGGTCCAGAAGGCGGCCCTGGTCGACGGCATCCAGCAGTGCTTCAACCGGCAGCACGACCAACACCCAGTGCAGTAGAACAGCGACACAGTAGAACAACCGAAGATCAACAGCAATACACCCTAGTAGTATGGAGCAGTAGAACAGCCGAAGAACACAGCAGTGCGGTACCGAGACGACCAGCATTTTCCCCTCTACATGTTCCCGTTTCCCGATGGGTTTGAGGATGTTGTCTGAAGTGAGTCGCAAGAATAGCTTGCTGGTGCTGCATGCACGAAAGAACATCGAGTAGATAGTTAGTCAGGTTGGCCTGCCCTGTTCTCGTGTGTGCCGTTGTTAAGATCTTGTAGTTCTGCTTCGGCGCGATTCGGTTGCAGAAGAAAGTTATAGGATCTCGATGTATTGGATTGCCGCTCCTACGCGCCAGGTGTCGTTCACACTTCGGTCTGACGTCGTAGGAAGCAAGTCTGTTGTTGTAAGTCTCGAACACATCAACACAGGAGCGGAATCGGTAGCAGTGATTTTCGTCCGTTGAGTATCCGAGTGGGGTTACTCATTTACACTGTGAGGATGGAAAGGTTCACGATAGGCATAAGCATAGGCGTAGGCTGGCTAGGCTTAGGCTGTACGATTCTACTAGGCTAGGCATGGTGTACGATGCTACTGGCTACGGTCCGAACGTCTTGGGCGTTTTGCACGTTGCCGAAGGGGTGCGGTATCTTGTACGAAAATCATCAGGCTGACCGACCTGAGTCACTGTATATCTCGTACCGACATTCCCCCCCTCCGTAACTTGTGCGACGCTCGCACAATTTGCGGACTTGTAAGCCTTGTGCGTAGCCGTACTAAAAATTTTCTCGATCGCTTTCTTCGTACATCGCGTCGATGTCCGGAGCGAGAGATTCAAAAATTTGTATGTACTGATGAGGGCGAACCTGCTTCGTAAGCGGGTCGGCGCGGTTGACATCAGTTGGCACACAGCAGAGCGATTTGAAATTTTCTTGCACTAAACTGTAGCGAAGCATGTAGCGCTTACTTTTCTTGGTGGGCAAACTTGTTTTGGACAGTGCCAGCGCAGACTGATTGTCGGAGAAGATCAGAGGTAGCTCTTTTTCTTCTAGCAACCACTCTAGATACCCCTGGCCCTGCGACAGGCGGATGGTATCGTAGATCGCAACAAACTCGGCTTCGCATGTGCTGTGTGCTCGGATGGCCTGCCGCGCAGACTTCCAGCGCACAGGAGTTCCTTTGTAATAAATGATCGAGCCCGTGGTCGATCGGAACGTCACAGAACATCCCGCGAAGTCACTGTCTGCGAATGCTGTGAAGTCGCTAAACTTTTTCTCGTAACCCCCTTCCCTTGCGATGTTTCGATAAGAGAAGTTGAAAGCAGCTTCGTTCTCTGGAGAGTAGGTCAGCCCTCGATCCAAAGAGCCACTCAGGTATTGGAGAATACGTTTTGCGCCTTTTATGCGTTTTTCAGTTGTCACCGGATGAATCGATCGCGCCACACGTTGCGTCGCGAGGGCGATATCCGGGCGACACATGTTCGCAACATGCTGCAATCCTCCCACCAGCGACCGAATAGGAAAAGTTTTATTTTTCCGGACCCGTGTCCAATCGATCCGAGGTGCATGGAGTGCCAACTTGTCTGCGTTTGTCCATGTTGAACTTTTTCAAAAGTTTGCGAATGTGCTCCGCCATTGTGATGCTAAGCCGACGCTCAGCTTGGCAGTAAGCAACTTCTGCACCTAAGACATCCCATTTCAACCACTTGCCATCTACCCGGGGCGGAATGATTTTGCCTGGGAACTTTTTCCAAATTTCGTCGCGCGCTTTTTCAACTTCCTTCTTGTTGGGCCCTGCCAGGAGTGTGTCATCGACGTAAAGTGAAAGCGTTAGATCACCTTTGCGCCAAAGACCGGGCTCGGTCGGATTCATCTCCCAGCCTGCCTCGCGTAAGTAGGCTGCGTACGTATCATACCACTTGCGCGGGCTGATTCGCAATCCATAAAGGCTTTTGAGGAGACGGACGAGGGGACCTCTGTCAGAGCCGGGCTCGGCCCAATGGGGAGGCAGACGGACAAAAACTCTTTCGGCTTTTGGATCACTGTCATCCGTGTTCAGCGTTGCCAGGATGAAAGCATTGCTGATATCGAAGGACTCGATAAAGTGACCTTTCGAAGCGGCATCGATGAGCAGTACTCTACTCGCACAGTGCGACACTGTGGGCGAGAAGACCTCGGAGGCCATGGCTTTCGTTTGTCGGCTGCCCAGCGCTACTAGCCGTGCTTTGTAGCGGCCGTCGCGCTTCTTGGTGTAGATCACCACGCTGGGGATCACTTCATCCTTTGGCTTTAGCTCGCCGGGCTTTACTGGGCGCCAACAGCCAAGGGCTTCGAGTTGGCATGTCTCAAGATTTCCTGCCTCGATGTACTTAGTCGCGTCTTCACTCTCCAGAGCCTTCTTGTGCGTGAGCTGTAACGCATAAGCGACTCGCTCTTCGGTCTCAAGATCATTCTGCTTTTCCCACGCGCGATCGACTGCGGCGTCGATGTGGGCTAGAAAGATCTTTTCGAACTCGTCTTCCGATGCCTGAATCTGGTTGGCCGAGGGGCCTGGGGGTTCCGGATTCGGCTTCTTTTTCTTTGGGCCTGGCTTTTTCCAGTGGGGTTGAGCTTTTGCCCCAGGTTTTCTGCCGCGTTTCTTCACGACAAAGCCACCATCGGGAGTTTCCTCGACCGAAATCCGCGCTGGCTGATCAAGCCCGGGGATCTCGTCGCTGGCAGCTCTTTTGTTACTTTTCGGGCCCGCCGACTGTTGTTCGTCGGTTTCTGTTGCCGAAAGTTTTCTGAATTTGGAAACTCCAACCCACTTGCGACTGGGGTTTTCGTAAACTGCTTTCCCGGACCAGCTGTCGACTATTACTCTTGAACTGCCTGAATCGAGGTAAGTGAGCTGCGTCTCACGTGTACCGTCAAGATCCAACGCAGATGGACCGTCTCGATTTCCGCTGGGGGAAAACAAGGCAACCCGGGGACAGACGTGGTGTCTAACCCACTCGCAGGCCGTTTCAGTCCAATAGTCTTGCTGTGTCTCTTTAGCTTGCGCCGGAATTGGGGCTGCTGAAGCAGGTGGAGCACCGATGGACGGGGCATGACTTCCCTCCTGGGCCACCGGGCCCACGACAACAATTCCCGCCTCACTATCAAGCTGGGTATTTACATTTTCCAGAATCGCCTCAAGTTTGCTTTGCTTGAGAGAATCCCAAAACTTGACGTCGCGAAACTCCTCGACGCGAAACGCTTCCCCTGAAGTCGTTCGCTCGTCGGGGCACCATCTACCCACGCGGTAGGTGCTGTTTTGGAGACTATACCCTAGAAAGACGCCGGGTGGGTATCTTTCTTGCAGTTTGGTTACCGGGCCTAAAACCTTGCCGAAGCACAAGCAGCCAAATTTTCGAAAATGACTCCGGCTAGGCTCTCGCTCATACTTCCAAAAGTACGCTCATCATGGCTCCACAAGGCTGCGTCACTGATTCCGTTTTCACTTTTTAGCCTGTTTTGCTTGTGGAGATCATCCCGTACTATCACATCACCGAGACTGTTCGATGCGCGTCTACAACTAGCTCGATGTGTAGTCAAGGTGGCGAGATGATCTTCGAGATGAAGCGGCTCGTGGAGGTGCTGTTCGAAATCTGTCAAACGTAATAAATGACCAGAGTTTCAATTCGACTTAGAATTTCAAACTCAAGATCCGAAAAATATAAAGCAATTTCTTTATTTTGTAGGCGACAAATCACAACCAGTCCCAGCGTTTGTCAGTACTAGCAGTGCACTATGTACAACTACATGTGCATATAAGTCTCCTGCAAAGTAGTTTAAGTTGTCTGTGGCGCACGTGCATTGCAATGAGTAGACAGAGCGCTTCTGTCTACTTGTACTACAGCACAGAGCAGATCACTCTAATTTCAAAAAAGCGCCCAATTTGTTCCAAGTAACACATGAGTATATCCATTTTGTTTCATCATGTCGATGGCAGCTGCGCCATGTTGCACTAGCGCCGCGACCGCCGTTTTGGCAAAAGGGGCTATGGGAGACGATCGCAGAGTAATATTCCCATTTTTATCATTGCATATCCAGTATGAGAATATTAGATACAGCATCTGTCTTCGGCGCGAGCTATTTTCTAAAGATGTCAATTTTTTGAAACGAATAAGAAGGCGCATTCGGCCTTTCTACTGACATGATGTCCCTCTCTCAAGCTGGAAACATTTGGTGCAGAAATGCAAAAATGAGAAGAAGCATTTTTTCGCCGTGACGTTATATATTAGAGCACTACATGTAGGACAGAAAAATAAAACGAAAATGGGGGCCGCGAAAGCAGGAAGCAGAAGAACTTTAAGTAAACAGTCCGTATGGATTGCAAATGTTTTTGGGCGGTCGGAAGCACAGCAGAGCGCTGTTATGTTGTGTCAGTGTGACCCAGATGAAGGTCCGGCTTGTATCGCACGTTTGGCAGAGAAGATGAAGGTTTCTCAATGCCTAATCGGCACGACAAATTCCTGGTGTCGGTGACAAGAGCGGGAAACTCTTGCTGTCCATGCATGACAGATTTTTGTGAAATGCGCATCACAGGAGCTTTGCATTATATGTAGTGAGGTCACGAACGTTCTAATCTAGCGGTTTTTTTGACAGGCAGTGCGCAAAACGACCGGCAGTTATCAAGCGGGCGGAAGTGTTTTTGGGCATAAAAAATTTTCAATTATCAAGCAGCCGGGGCTTTGCCGTCAAACAAGCCCGAGCGGATTCTATCGATTCCCGCTTGATAAAACGACGCAGGGGAGCCGGCAAAAGGGGCGCCCTTCTGAGGCGCCCACCGCCTTAGTTTCTGGCGGTTTTGGCCGCCCAAAAAGGGGCGCTCAAAAAGCAGCAGTCCGAAAAAAACAGCGAAGCCGCATAGTATGGGCCCCATTTTGGCCCACATCCGAGCCGCCCAAAAGACGCCACCAAAATCCGCCATCTCAGAGGCGGACTTAAGGCCAGAAGATGAGGCATCTTAACAAAAAAAACCAAAAGAAACAAAGTCAGCCAAAAGCAAAAAGCGAATCCGCATGCTATTGGCCCGATTTGGGGGCCCATGGGGCCGACCCGGGGGTGGGGCCTGGCGGGGCCATAGCATGCGGGGAAGGTTTTTCGATTCGAAACCAAATGGAGGCCAGTTCTGGATCGACATTTTTAGCGACCGCCGTGCCGTCGTGCATAACATTACTCACGATGGCACGGTGGGCAGAGAAGTCGCTTCTGTTTTTAGCGTGAAGACAAAAAAACCGCCATGACCTCACTACCCCCGCTGAGGCGGCTATTATTGGTTCTAGACCCAGAGATATTTGCAATCGTGCACAGTCCGTGGCACTGTTCGTCCTCCGCCTACCACTTCATCTGGCGGCCCAGGCAACCTGAATGACCATCCACGATAGCAGCCCTTGCAGCACGAATTCCTCGGGATCCACCGTTGTGGTGAACAAGTAGTACATAAAGTAGAATGAGTGGCGAGGACCCTCTTTCTCTCCTGAAGGCGGCCAAGCCCCGTCCTGCCGTGCCTGCAGTGGGCGGGTGCCCGGCGGGCGCCACGATAACACCAGCGAATGCTGGTGGCGGAGCTAAGTCCACCATGTTTACGGACTCTTTGTTCGATCTAGATGACGTTCTCGGTGACAAACCCGGCGCCGGACACTATCATTTGTAAAAACGTCGTCCCTACTCCAGATTTTTCATGCAAATCTGCATGCTGGAGCTGGGCTCGGCTGTCACTGTCTCTCATGCGCAGCCCGATGAGGAGTCGTTTCTAGTGGTGTTTTGGAATTTGTACTGCTATAATCTTCACGTCGATAGGGTGATGGATTTGTGATGCCGCTTCTTTAGGCGAGCACGACTCCTTACACTAAGTGTCCCGATTTGTCATGCGGAGTTCACAAACCTTTCGTTTCTGATTTGTGTAAGCAAAGTGCCCATCTTGGTTGACTCTGGGGCGCGGACGGTTTTGCATAGGATAGGTGCCAGCTGTTTGGCACCACGACAACGCATCCGGCCGACGCGAAAACCGCGGACTACCTGTTTGCCACCGCTGCCCCGACGACAGGAAGCGCAAACTCACTGTTCGGGGCACCAGTCGGGATGACCACGACTGCGCCGGTGGCCGGTGCTTCAGCTCCTGCGGTAGCCTCCAACCTCGGCAGTGCCACAGGCGCCGGGGCGGGGCTCAAGCCTTTGTTTCCCGCTGGTGGATCTTCGTCCTCTTCCACCGGGCGAAATGCAAATAAGAACGCCAGCATTTCTATGGGAATCTCAGGGAGGATATCGCCAGAATGAATGAATGAATGAATAATGTTTTGCACATGCAGAAGTAAGGGGACACAAATTCCAGGCTTTGGGACACGATTTCTAAGCGGCGCATGTGAAAATTCAATTTTCTTGATTCAATAGATTGAGTCCCCGGAGTGGTTTATAGCAACGAAGAAGCGCCTTGCCATGCGGTTCCAGCGACTTCATACTTGCTGAGCCACAACAGGCTTAAGCACAGGCTCAATTTCATGCCATGCAACATAGCCAAAAAGCGCATGACAAGTGTATCATTCCACTTCGTAAGTAAGTTTCCAACCTGACACAGCCATAACCTCCTCATCGCTTTTTGGGGACTTTGATGTGGACTTTGGCCTCCCGACGAGCAGTCTACCGGCGCCGCCCCCCGTACCGCACAATCCGTCAAACATATGCATCGGCGCAGCGACGTCTGGGTTTCGGTCTGGAAACTTGCACGCACACTTGTGATGCTTGATCTGACTTTGCAGCGCAGCAGACAAAAAACTGTGTTCCATGAGCTGCAAGAGTGGCTGCCCACTTGATAAAAAGTAAGTAAGTATTTGTACCGAAGGAGGGAGACAGGATTACTCTCGTGCGGACTAGGCCTCCTGCGTGTAGTAAAACCTGTGAAGAAGTAGAGTTCGTTTGTGCAGCTGAAGGCCGAGCTGCATTGGCATTGCAGATCGTCTATGTGCTCGTCTGTGTCCGATAAAGCAAGGGGCCGCATGACCAGCCTTTGCACTTTTCCAGCCCCAGACGCACAGGCATTTGCAGTGTATAAAGCAGTTCGAGCGACAACTTCCTCGACTCTTTCGACTTTCTAGACCCGCCCCCGCCTGCGGTTCCGGCACTGCATATGATAGTGGACAACTTCATCCCCTGCTCCCTCTCGGTTAGAGCATGCATCAAAAGGTAGCATGGATGATTTTGAACCTGCCTGAAACCTGCTCATGCAGCCTCTGCGGGGCAAGTTCCGGCCCGGAGTGAAGGTGTACGTAGGAATTGGTATTTTGTTGCATCACCACAAAAAAAAATGACTAAGGGACGAGAGTAGTTGTTGTCCACTGTTATGATATAGTCGCCCAGTACGACCACGCTTGGAGGAGCTCCTGGGGCGGAATGCGGAACGGTAAAACATGCCAACACCTCCAAGAACCCGCTGTTTAATGCAGGCGGAGGGTCCTCATCCAGCACCGCCAACTTGCTTGCCTCGGATGGTCGTGCAGCTGTATCCCAGGAAAAAGTATTTCAGTTACACCTTTGCTGTAGCTTCAGCAATACAAAGTTGTTGTAGAAGAGTGAGAAAACCAAAACGTGTAAGAATTATACAGAGGTTGCTTGTCTTGCTTGGCTTCTGGCGCAATGTGTATCTGTATTAACACTTTTTTCTTTTCATACTACATCGGCTCGTCCACCACGGCGGCAGCCCCACGGCTGGGAGAGCCAGGCGGCGCACCGGGGGCACCCCTCTTTGCTGGCAAGGGACCGACCGCCGGTCCGGGTCGCGTTCCCGGTGGTGGGGGCCACCACCACAAGTCCGGATCTCGGGGTATGTTCGGCGGGCTGACCTCGCTCGCAAGTTCCGTAATGCGGCAGGGAGAAAAGATGCTGCAGCAAGCCGCGGCCGCCATGCCCGAAAACGAATTCGAACAGCCGTCGGGCGTCGCGGGGGCTGGATTCGGGCCAGACGCCGCACTGCCTTCCGGGGCCGCCCCGCCAGCGAGTGGATCCGGGGGCGGAATGTTTGGCGGCACGGCCGCCGCTCTCCCAGCGCAGCAGGGCGGCGCACCATCGGGCGAGACCAGCTTCTTGGCGTCCGGCAGTGCCTTCCTGATGAACAAGGGACCCGTAGCAACTTCGCTCGGCGGACCGGCGGCTGGTGGCCTTGTGTACGAGCCGCCCGAAGACCTCTTTGAGCTGTATAGAAGCGCACTCAGGTGTTACACATTCAGCGGTTAGAATGAAACTAACTATAAAGGAGATCATGCAAAAAGACGAGCTATGAAATATAAAAACGAAAACCTGGCTAGATTTAAATGCCCTAATCCCGTCCACCGGTTGAAAGCGGATGACAACTTAAGTAGTCCTGGAGCCTGAAAGAAGAAGTGCACTGTAATCCGGCGCAATTTGTACTGCGAAAACCGCAATAAAGCGCGCTCCTTTTGCTCTGCTTTTCATGGATGGCAACGGCCTTCCAGATGCACACTTCACTGTAACAGTTAGGATTTTTGCAACACCTGAGGAGGCCTCCATAAGCTGCCGGACGCGTACCGTTTCTGGAGACCGACCGTAGCGTGGTCCGGTGACGCGCACGACTCCCCCGCCTCCCGCACTGCTGACGGCCTGCGGCGAAAAGCTGCGTCGGGGACTGCTGCGAAAAGTTGGACGGCGACCGACCCGCTAGTTTCTTTGCTCGCCGGAGAGCAGATTTTGTTTGAGGTCCCGCGTGGAGGAGCGACACCCGCACCCGGCGCGGCCACGAACATAGCAGCGTCGTCGACGCCGCTGCAGCACGTAGACCCTAGCGGCGGGATCAAGATGGTAGTGCCCACCGTATTTCCCTGCCCCTATCCCTGCAAAAAGCTGACGGTGACCAACTACCGTCTGCATATGCAACTGAATGTCGATAGCAACCTGCTTTTTTCGGACGGCCACTGGATCTTTTGCTCCGGCGCAGGACGTATGGATTGCAAAAATGTCTGGGTCTGGAACATTCTAAACTTGTGATGCTGTCTCTGGATTCTGAAAAAAAATTGTATTGCATGACCAGCAAGAGGACTCCAGTTTGTGCTACACGGAGAGGGCATTTCTCATGCGGTAGAGGTATCACAAGGCGCTCCAAAAATCTGTGATGCTACGGCATGCATCACAGACATCACGGGTCATGGAAAATATGCATGACAAATCTAGAAATCTTCCAGACCCAGACATTTTTACACTTGATAGGACGAGGCCCTGCGCAACATGCAGGAGCAGACAGCAGTGCGGAGGGGGCCGTGGCTGCCTCGGGTGCTGGATATCAAATGTAAAAATGTCTGGGTCTGGAAACTTGTGATGCTGGGTGGCGTCTCATGATGAGGCCACATATGCTGGCTCAGCATGACAAGTTTCTCAGCTTCTAGGTGTTGCCTATTCTGCATGACAAACTGCGTTTCTGCATCACAGAAAAATGGAGCTCTTGGGTAGCGTGCATGACAGATTTAAGAGTCATGCCAGACAAGCATGACAAACATGCATTCTCCAGACCCAGACATTTTTGCACTTGATACTGGACCGGTGCCACCGATTCCGGACGGTATCCTCGGAAACCAAAGCGTGCCCACCTCATCCTTCACTCTAGCAGAAACGCATGACGAATTTGTTTGGCCCGAAGTGTAGTCGTGATCAGCTGCTATCAGCGTGGCGGCAATTCACTTATTTTGCCACGCGAAACGCAAGACCAAGATTGCAAATTGTGCTTTTACCAACGAATTTATTGTAAGTACGCCAACCACTCACTCTATCTTTTTTGTAACCCTGATTAGAAGTTACACAGCCCACAGACAACCTAAGAAAACCCAAAAACTAACTCGTGCACTATTTTTTTCGGGCTGCGCTAGCGCTGTCGACCACACGTTTAAGGCATGATGAAAGCAACAATTTTGGGGGTGGGTACGTTATTTTTGACCAGGACACGCGAATTTACTGCCTCGGTGCAAGATGAGACAGCTCTTCGCGGGGTCACAGCGTCTTCATCTCCCTCCAACGCCTTGACAAGTACTAGTTCAGCGAGCAGTTCTTCCTCCCTTCCCGCATGGCTACACGAAGCGGGGCTCCTGTCCATTCCGTGGGGCGCAGTACTCAGCATATGCACTGCAAATACCTAGATCAACATCTGCGTCGGGGCACTATTCTTTGAAGCGTGCCATCCCTAGCGCAGTGACAACATTGAAGTACTTAGAGCTATGTACGTAAGTATTGGAAAATCTAAGTCGACCGTCCTATATTAATGTTGTCGAGAACGAAGTACCATTACGAAGAAATGAGTGTGTCGAGATCTGGCATGGGAGAATCAGGAAGACAAACTGCCCGCACCTGGCCAGACGCTAGATGGCTGCTACATATTTGCGGGTGATAAAGCATCAAACAGTACGATTCCAGTGGGGTAGCCCGTGTAAAAACTGCGCGTAGTCATGAAGTGCGTTCTTTTCGCGCTTTTGCACTAAGCAACAACCTGCTAAGACACAGATGTATGATGCTGAAGAAGAACGTATACAACAGTAAGTAGTATGTTTATGCTATATGGAAATCTAAATGCACATGAACATTATCGATAGGCATGACTGCAAGATCGGGCGTGCAGACGTGTGCCTCGTCATGATTAGCTAGTGTGGCCGCTGGACCAAGCCGCTAGCTTGCCCTGATCGGCTGCAATGAAGACCCTTCCTCATAATTGGGCATTCTCCAGCTGCACGTTCCAAAACAAACATGATCGGGCAGCCATTCCCCGGGCAGGATCGGGCTGGTGAAGGGGGCCGCAGTCACGGTGGGGAGGTGCGGGCTTTCGCATGGGTTAGCCCTCGCCCGCGGGGGCTACCATCCGCATGTAGCGCAGGGTTGGGATGAGCTGCTAGTCAGTGTTGGATCTCTTGTTTGGGCATGTTTTATTGCCGCGGGCAGCCGCAGCACTACAGTGCCGGGAGGTGAATTTCGCGGGAGTGTCTAGATGATGAGTAGCTGGGGCTCGACTTATAATCTCTACGAGTTGCATTGCATTGGGGGCCAGTGGGGCCAGCAGGCCTTTTTGTCTGTCGCACGCTTCGGCTATGGGGATGCACCGGCCTGGAGCTACCTTGCTTTTTCGGCCGGCTACGTTTGGCCAGGCGGTCTCCCCCCGTCGGCCTGATGTCAGTATTACCCCTCAACAGCAAGGGTGGGTAGGAATTCTTTTCCTTTGGTTTTCGTCTTTAATGCAGGTCGGGCTGGGATTTCTGGCGGTTTCTATCTCTATGTGATTGTCGGGTTTGTGAACGTCACAACTAGGCTTTGGCGGCTTGAGGGGGACCGACTGGCATTTTCTCTCTATCGCTTTCGGAGGGCCGAGTTCGTGCTCGCTCCTTTTCCCAGGGGGTTTTGCCCCCTGGCGTTTACGGTAGTTTTGGCCTTGTTGTTCGGTGGGGCCGAATAAGTTGTTTTTGGAACTGGCTTCACAGCTTGGTAGCTACAAGGGCGGCCCGTCAACAACTTTACTTTGCGGCGAGAGCCTGCGAGGGGGCACTTAGCGGAATCGGGGCACCCCGGACAAGGCGAGGGGCTGTGGCGTCGGCGCCGCCCTTCAGCAGGTGGCAGCATTTGGTAAGAGTGCCTGAGGGCGGGCTCCCCTACTCGTGTTAGCGGGTCTAATTCGATAGCGGGATCTACATACCCGCCGGATAGTAGGTTAACGGCCGGGCTCTTATCGGTTTGCACGGAGACGGATATGAGTGCGCTCAGGTCTGGCGTGGCGCTAGTTTCTTGGCCGGGGTTTGGTGTTCGAAGGGGCCGACGCCCTCAGAGTCAAACTCAAAGGCGCCAGTCTACTACTCTGGGGGCCTAGGTATCAGGTGGGTCAGTAGCTTTTGGACCTGGGGGCGCGTCCCGCATCATCATATACGATGCCCCTCGGCGCATCATTTTCGAGTAAGTGACGGAAAGGACTAGACTTATATGGAAAGGGCTAGCAGATCCCTGGTAAGCTAATGCAAGGCGGCACGACTGGACCCGCATTCGAGGCGGGGGTCGTGCCATGGAAAATTTCTTTCGATCCCACCCACCCACCCGGTGCGCTGTTTCCTCGCGCCCACGCGGCTTTCGTGGTGACAGAGGATTCATTTTGGGAGGGGCCTTGAGGCATCCCAGTAGGCTGTCTCAGCGGTGAGGGACCGAGACGCCCTTGCCCTCTCTCCTCCGATCACGCCATAGGGCGTGTCGGGTGGTTGGTTCAGATTGATAGGACGATAGGAACGGAGCGAAATGGGACCAGGCGCATTCTCCAGCTGCACGTTCCAAAACAAACATGATAAAAGCAAGATTATGAACGTAAATCGCTGTTAATGGCAGATCAAAGCAGAATGGACCGATTCTGGTGGGCGAACAACAATTCTTATTCGAAGCAGAAGGCACGATTTACATCGTGAGTAATCGCGATTACGTCGCGATTTGCAACAAGTTCAAATTCTTACTTTACATTTTTAGTGCTTTTGTACCACTCTAAAAAGCCTAAAGATTTTGATTCAAACATTCACTTTTTGTCGCTGATGAAATGAAATCATTTTTTGCCGTAACTCTTCTTGCAAATTTTTTCAACCCATTTGTACTTTTCGGCTGCTGACTGTCCGACTTCTTCTTTGTATGCTGGCGACTCGGGATCCAGCTGCTTGTAACTCGCTCGCACTTCGTCTTTTTTCTTGATCAATTCCTTCAAACGGGGAATCTCGCTTTCCAACTTTTCCTTCAGCCGCCGCAGGTGTCTTCTTTTGTCTTCACCCACGCGCTGCCGATCTTCACCCAACTTTCCTGGTGGTCTCGGGTGGATCCGTTGCTGACGATGTAACTCACGCTGATACTTTCGTCTTTCTGGTTCTTTGTCTCTTCTTCTAACTGCTGAATTTGTTCCGCAATTGCTGTGGTGCTGAAACTCTCTTCGTTGGAAAGGTTCGCGTCGACGGTTAGTTTAGCAACTTCGCGAGCAAGATCTTCGACTTGCTGTTCGTCCTTTACCCGTTGTTCCTGGTCGTGGTCGACCGCTTCTTGCTTTCCAGCCTCACCGACGGAGAGAACTGGTCCACAAGCCGCAGTCTTGGGCTTGATGAAGACCCTTCCTCATAATTGGGACCAGGCGCATTCTCCAGCTGCACGTTCCAAAACAAACATGATAAAAGCAAGATGAAGATTATGAACGTAAATCGCTTTCTTAGCATTGTAATTGCGAACAGCACGTGGAGGTGGACGACGACGAGCAGTATTTTTTCACGGGATACCGCTACAAGGAGATTCTGAAAGACATCAGCACCATGATGGGTGGTTTTTCTGACATATGGATTGCAGATATGTCTGGGTCTGGAAACTTGTAATGCTAAAAGTGAATGATAGAGGCACTGCCATACGCAGCTATGCATGACAAATCTTTTGGCTGCCATGTGCATGTCTTACGTATTCCGCATGACAAACTGCGTTTTTGCATGACAGGCAAGAGGGCCTTTTCGTGCCTATGCAACACAGATTCTCGAGTCATGCCAGACAAGCATGACAAACTTGCAATCTTCCAGACCCAGCCAGTGGACATATTAGCACGTTTAATCTCTCTCTACATAGTGCATTCACGTAGTTCTCTTTTATTTTCTTTCTTCAAAAAGTTCAAGTCGTTCTCTTCCCCGTGCTGTACCAAGGTCTTGTTTCCAGACAAAACACCAGACATATTTGCAATCCATACGAAACTTCAGGCCTGTCGGCGCCGTATCAAAAGGAAAACTCTACCGCCTGGCGATACGCAATAGAGGGATTTTTTGATTGCAGAGTGCGACATATGCAAGTAAGAGTACGTACTAGACTTGAAGAGGAGCCTTATCTTTTCTTGGTAGTGATGCAGTGTGTAAGTAGTCTGAGCCTCTGCAGCTGCAGCTTAGCCGGTAGTAGCTTCTAGCGCAGTAGCGTAGTCGTCCGGTCGTTGGTTCGGCACGCTAGACGCGCCTTCTGTAGGGTCTCGCAGTATTGGAAACCTCTTCTCGACGCACAGCACGAGAGAAAGCCACTCTAGCTCTGCCCGTTTTTTTGTATGCAGCGCAACCAGAAAGAGGACCGAAGAACAGCAGGGTTGTACATCTTGGTACGCAAATTTGTGATGCACTTGCAAAAACATATAAGAGCGGGGTAACAAATTCTGACGAGTTGTGGCCTTCCCACTTCTCACCCGCCCGGCCGGGTGGGTGACTAGTGGGACGGAACCAGGATCCTGACCACGAGAACGGCGAAAAGCAAGATCCGGCCAGCTGGTCATCCGGCCAGCTGGTCAGGATCCTGGTTCCGTCCCACTAGTCACCCACCCGGCCGGGTGGGTGAGAAGTGGGAAGGCCACAACTCGTCAGAATTTGTTACCCCGCTCTAATAAAATCCCTTGAGTACTACTACGTGTGCGATATAATATGAGGAAGGAGTTGTAGTTTTCCACGCCATACGCCGGGGCACACTTTCAGCAAGGCACAGCTGGCCACCGATGGAGGCGGTTGCTGGAAAATCGCCACGAAGGACCTGCGTGCCTTCTACCTAGAGGACGTGCCACCGCAATTTGGTGCGCAGCTGCAGGAGGCCTTTCGCAAATTCGCGAACGCTGCCTACGGTCCGGCAAGCCTGGTATCCAATTGAAAACGTCAAGGGTTGAAAACGTCTGCTCGGAGGACTTCGAATTCTTTCATATGGTCAGCAAGTTTCTAGCTTTGTATGATACGACTAGCAAATGCAACCAGAGTGAAGCAAAAAGATCTTCTTTGAATCTCCATCGCATCTTTTGACGTGGATAAGTATGCGCTTTTTATCTCTTGGCTCCTTTGAAATCTATCTGGTGGTGGTTTTCGTCCATTTATCAGTTACAGCAAGAACACGCCAGTAGGGTATAGACATCACATTTGTTGGAACTAGGCAAAAATGTCCTGCAAACTTGAAAGAGCATGCCATGCGCATTCCCTCGTCCATGACTGAATTGGATTCACTTTTGCATGTAAGTCGATATAAATCGACCACTTGGATGCAAGTACAACTTACAAATAAAATGTGAAGAGACCCCGCCGGCCGCGTTTTTCTGTGAGAGACGCATTTTGTTTTCACCAAGACGGACGAAGGGACAGACGATTAAACCGCGTTTTCAATTTGATGTCTCTTCGCGTTCGCGCACTGCAACGGCGGCCTCGGCGCTACCGCCGGTTTATGAAGTGGAAAGAATTTAGCTCTCGCTCTGCCACAGTTCTATGTATGTTTTTCGTTTTTTCTTCCGGGATACGATCTCCAAGCGAAAGGTACTAAACTTGCTCACTGGGCGGGCAAGTTTTTTTTTTTCAGATTCGCTGACGCAGGGCAGGGAAGAAAACGAAAAAGAGATTGATGATTATTAATTTACCCACTGAGGTGGACGACGAGGGCAAGGTTTTTCCTAGGATTTGCGGGGACAAGTATCGGCGACGGGGCGACCAAGGATGGCTGGCATTTGTACGACCCCCTGGCGGAATATGGTATACTTTAGTTATAATTTTTTCAAAAGCAAATGCAAAGGTTAAGAAAGGTCCGGATCGATAATGGTCATTATTTTTTCTTTATCTTTTGCAGTACCTACTTAGCTCTAGCCAGCGATAAAGTAAGAATGTAATAAATTCCAGGTCGCATGTTATCCTCCGTGATATAATCGTCCCCACGACCACCACGACCCGCTGCAAATTAGGTACGAGGAAGATGAAAAAAACTCTGCTTGGCAAGAAGCTCTGTGAGTTAGCATGGTTTGTAGCGGCATATATAATATCAAATAAAGCTCGACTTGGCTTAGGCTTTCTTCTTTACTCTGGTTTTCTAATGCTATGCAGGTCGGGTGTTGTCGTGGTAAGGTCGTTTTTTCACAGGATGCGTGGGCATCGATATGACGGAGGGGCCGGGCGACTCACCCTGGCGGCTGTATGCCCTGCAAAAGCAATACATACTTGATGCGGGCGGCTTTGGAGTGCCGGAATGGCATAAAAGAGAAAAGCAACCATGTATAGAGATCTGTCATTTTGCATTTCTTGTGGCTCATTCGAGCGAATCGCAAGAGGTCTGGAGGTTTTGCGAGAAGACAGAAATATGCATGCCCGAGGGGAATTTCTGGAAAGAAGCAGCAGGCTTTTACGCTCGCCAGTAGCGGCAGTTCTGCTTCTGCAGACCAAGACCGCGATAATTAAACTGGCTTCCAGCACGACCCAGCATTCATCCATCGTGCCTTGCAGATCCAGATTCACCTTACGATGAGAATGAGAAACGTCAATATCATATCGCACGGCCAGTTCAGAAGGAGTATCCGCTATAATCATAGCCCAGATTCTTCTACTTGAGTTTCTTTTACGTTTAACTGCAAACCCAATCAACATCCGGTATTGTGCTAATTTGCAATGTATCAAACGCAAATAGGTGTGTTGGAAGAATGCAGATAATTGATACTTCTCATGGTGCAGGTTTTGAATCTGCCAAATAAAGGCCTGAAATGCACACATCAGAGCAGCACAAATTCTACGGAGGCTTTGCCATGCGCTGTCTGCGTGAGAAGAAATGCCCCCTCCTGGAAGCAAAGAGCGCATTTCTTTTGCCGTGCCGGCTATGCAAGACAGACTTTATTTGCCTATTCCAGAATCCGCCATCACAAGTTCGCATTCTTCCAAACCCAGAAATCTTTGCAATCCATACAATGCATAGGAGGTCGAGCGTGAATAAGAGCTACCAGCTCTGCGAGAGCTACCCGCAATGGCTGGTGGTGCCCAAGTATCCTGTGCAAGAGTTCGATATCGTGCTCGCGGTACTCATCTGTGTCTGTCCGATGCAGCATCTTCACCGATTATTGCCTTTTTGCAAGAAGGTTAGGCTTGACAAGTCGCATTTTACTTATTAATTTGTTCTTCGATTCCGAGAATAGAAAGTTGTAGTAGAGCTGCCAGTTGTTTACGTTTAGTTGTTCTACGTAGCGAGAAAGCACTGCTCGATAAGTATTTCTTTTGCACTGCATACCACGCGAGTATCGGACCCGGTGCTGCTGGCGGTGAGTAACTACCGCAAGAAGAAGCGGATCCCCTCTCTGAGCTGGTGCGGGGTATTCAAGAAAAAAACATTGTAGGTGTAACTTTTTTGGAGGAACAGCATTACAAATTTGTCTGGCATGACAGCAGAAACATGTCATGCGCAGATAGTACGTGAAAACGCCCTGTAATGGACCCTACGATGCATGCCAAGCATGACAGACGCAATCACTTTGCATGTTGCGCATCACAAATTTACACCAACAACGTTTTTTTCTTAGATACGGCGGCCCCGCGCTGCACTACGCCTGCGTGTTCCGCTCCTCGCAGCCATGCGACGGGCTTTGGGGCAACAGTTCCGAGGCGGACGAACGCCTCCTCCGGGAAATTGCGACGGGGAAACAGATATCCGCAGCAAAAGCAAAACTAACGTATTACTCATGGTGCGCCTCCACAATAAAGCTGCACAAGAAACTGAAACGAAGAAAGTAAGTAATTTAGATAAGTATTAGACTAGAAGAAAAAAATTAAAATTTCACAAAATTTTTACCGAGAAGACATGCCCCTGTCACAGAACAATATGGGCATGCAGGTGCATGAAACTGTAGACGATATCAGACCTGCAGACCCACTCATCTGCACGACTTTCTATGTGAGTACCTGTGCACAAACATGATATGGCTACCGTGTGTCTCCGCGCGTCGATGGTTTTGCGCTGGATAGCCAAATATCAAATGCAAATATGTCTGGGTCTGGAAGGATGCAAGGTTTGTCATGCACATTTTGCATGACTCCTGATGTCTGTGATGCATGCCCTAGCATTAAATATTTCGTGAGGGCTTTCTGATGCCTAGACCGCATGAGAAATGCCCCCTCACCGTGGCAAAATCTGGACCGCTTTTGCTGCTCATGCAATACAGATTTTTGTAGAATCCAAATGCAGCATCACAAGTTGCATCCTTCCAGACCCAGACATATTTGCAATGCATACCAAATGGCCTCTCCAAGCCGCTCTTCGTCCTGGATCTTCGTACGCACAAATCCGCTTTGGGAAACAAGGCCGGGGGCGGCGGGTAAGAAACCATGAAGCAGCGAATATTATTGCACTATATTCTTCTCTTCCTTGCGATCGCTTTACCTTTACTTCAAAGTACTTAATACGATGCCATGAAGTGTATTTTCGCACTAGGTTGATGCACAAGTGAGTAAAAATCTTTCCGGTTTGTTGTTTGACAAGTACGCATTACATTTAGTATAGCTATAGCTATAGTCGTCTGGTTTAGAAGTCTCGACGACGGCACTGGTGTAGTAACTTGTGATCGCTACAGGTATGAGGACTACTCCTTTTGTCAGCTGGAGTTCGCGTATCAGAGTGCCCAACTCCCCCTCCCTGTCCTTATTTGTCGCGCAAACAGCGAATCCAGATCAAGTCTTTGCATTGTTCGCATGGCAGGCTCGGACCGCCAGAAGAGTGCTGCAACCTTGTGTAAATTCGTCTTGCAAATGCAAATAATAAACCTGCTCTCTTGCCGACGCTTGTTCCATTCCTGTGGATGCCCTTCTATAAATAAATCAGAGGGAGGGGCAGTTGTGCACTTCCATATCGAGGGGATTCCGAACATACACGCAGTCCGAGACTCCTACGAGGTACGCAAGGGAAAAAAAGTGTGTACTTAATGACCTATGTTGTACTCATGCCATGGTCGGAGAACGTCGCGGACGTCGATGCACGATTCCCGGCCGATTTTCAGCCTATGCACATTGCATGAGAAACTGAAATTATGCAAATTTTTGATATGATTTGCCAGATAGATGTGAAGGAAAAGATGTATTTGACGTGAAGGAGAAAATCGTGCTGCGAGCGTGGTGCCCCTGTCGCGCTGGGGAGAATATAATTGCAGTCTTTTTCTTCGAAGACGGTGTACGTAGCTGTATCTGTATGTTGCTCGGTACTGCTGCAAAAGTGCAGAGTTAATAGAGGATGAACACGCTTTTTTCCCTTTGGATACGAGAAAATGGAGAAAGCGGTGTGTCGCATCGCCTACAACCAAGCGGGTTCCTGTATCATATCGAATACACGGGATACAAAACAAGTTGCAGATGAATCGATGATGTAGAAGTACTATGTATGTGAACCTTTTTGATGCTTTTTGCTTTTGCTGCAGAAGATGCTATTGTCTCGGAATGATGATAGATTATGTTTCTTTTTCGGTCTCTGCGGACGCCTTGCGGATCACGATATGCACTGCAAACATGTAGTCTGGGCCTTGTGATGTGATGAATGAGTGAATGTGGACTTGTTGTGCGCTTACTGCGAATGGTTTCACGAGAACCCGTAACGCATGAAGGAGATAATAAAAAGCCACGCCTCCGCCACAACAATTGTCATCATTTAAAACACAGCTTGTCGTGCTGACGCGCAATTCGACTAGCTTCTGTTCAATGGGATACACGTTTAGAATATCGTGATCGTCCCGCCGAAGTAGAAGTGGGTATTGGTATGCGATGGAGTTGTTCTCCCGCGCTCATCTCGCAGGAAGTACGTACTATACTGGGATTGCAAGAATAGATGAAAATGTCGAGCACTCCATTTCCAGAGGGCAACCCGACGAAGACATGTTTGTAGTGCATATCTGATTTCCATTTCCGTATGATACTCGGGTACACCGACGTGGGAAACAGCCTGTGGTTTGAGAATCTCAGCCTGATCCTGCAAGCGGCCGCGAACGTTGCGTGGAAAATGCGGCAGAACCGGGCCTGTCTGGTGCACTGCAGCGACGGCTGGGTATGCATCAAAAATATTGTAGCTCCAAGTCTGGATTTCGCTGACCACTAGCGGAGGATCAAAAAAAACACGTGCCTAATTATTAATTTTTATTAGTACATGATTTGGATTCATGTGACAACGCGCAGCATCATCGAAGCATCAATTATGATCGTTATGATCGTTGCATTTTTTCCATTAGCAGCAGGGGCACCTAGTGTAGTTGTCATGACGGAACACGTAAGTACGTTTACGTAGCCACGTGGCTAGGAGGGTTTCAAGTCGTTTACCGTGGCTTCCTGAAGACGTGAAGACTAAATATACCCTGAATATTAAAACGGTAACAAGCCCGATGAATGCGACACGGAAATACAAAAGACTTGAATTACACTGGAGAAAAACGCAACTTCGGCACATAAATCTATGCAACAAGCACCATGAAAGAGCCTCCTCCAAACCTTGAATTATTGAGCGATGAATTAGAATTCCAGACCTGGAGGACATATTTACACCTGATACGGGGACCGCACCGCGCAAAACACGACGTTGGCCATGCTCAGTCTCGACCCATTTTACCGCACGATCGAAGGTATGTTATTTGCTTGTGTACCTATAGGTGGGACTGGGAGAAAATTTTTAGCATTCAAGAACTATTCCTGCAGGAACATCATCTCTCCTAGTACTTCTCTTATGCGATATGATCAAAAATCGAGGGACAGCTCTGGTACTGCACACGGCCGCTCCTGCACTACCTCCGTAATTGAGAATGACCACCTTTGCTTTATTACCGGACTCCTCTGCTGCCTCACAACAGGTTTCTGCGTGCTGATTCAGAAGGAGTGGTGTTCGTACGGACACCAGTTTAAGACGCGGCTGGCGACCAGCCAAAAAGCGACGGGAGAATACTCGCCGGTCTTTTTTCAGTGGCTGGACTGTGTGTACCAATTCGCGGTCCTGCAGCACCCCGAGCGCTTCGAGTTCAACGAGCAGCTACTGTATCATCTGCAAATGTGCCTGCTGAGTCGGCGCGGAAATAAAGATATAAGTGTATACTGAGTTGTGATGCTAATTTTTGCATAAAAGATGAGTGGTCACTTGTACGGTATTTTCCCACGATTTATTGCAAAGTTTTTAAGTAGTCGTGTTTCGGACGACAACGAAATGGGCTCCCTGCAGCACGACATCAAAAGAAATCGCTACTTCCCTCCATGCAACACAGTAGATCTTGTTGCCCTTCAAATCTGCATGACAAGTCCGGACGCAGACAAATTTCCAATGCATATGCTGCTAGACCTTACTACCTTTGCCGTTTCGAATCAGTTTGGCACCTTCGTATTCAAGAAGAAATGCTGTGTCCGCGTAACTTAAAAAAACCCACAACATGTTGATAAATTTGCCTTGTTACATACTGCATGATGACAGCGACCAAGAAAGCGGCTTCTTTTCGGGCGTAGCTAGTACGCGTGGATGAAGACAGAGAAAACGAAATACTTAAGTAGAAACTACATTTGTGAAAAGAGGCTGCTAATGATGTGATCTGGCATCACGAGAAATGAGAACAAAGTCACACGTCACCCACACAGCTTTTTTCTTTCGATACTTTCTGGCTGACAACGAGTCTGAGTGCTGCTCGCGGTACTTGACGAAAACGAAAAGCGTGTGGACGCACGTATCAACTGCAGAAATGTCCTGTGGGTTTCTTGGAGTATTTCGTATTATTTCATGCCAGCACTCTCGCCCGGTCTCCTACATCGTGAGAAACGGACTTCAGTACGCCACCAGACATGACAAAGTGAAATTTTTTGAAGGGTCTCTACACGCCCACAATGCACAAGCACCGTGAAAAACAGAAAGCGCATTTTTGCTTGACAAACTACATAGCACTGTTGGTTCGCTTCGTGCCACACAGGCGACTAGAAGTGCATCATTCGGAATGCGCAACACACACTTACTGCCATACCGAGACCCACGCATTTTTGCAATGCATAGCAGGTTCTGGAGAACAAAACCCGCTACCGGAACCCGCGCTTCCGGGCGAAAATCTCGCCGCACGGCGTCAACATCGGGGAGGATGCCGGTGCTACTACGCCACCTTCGCTGATGGCCGCACCTCCCTCCGCAACAAGCCGCACCCTCTCTGTCACGATCGATTACTTGCCTATCCAGTTCTATCCCACAGAAAAGTTGCTAGTGCAGCACGACCTTATCCGTTCACGTATGAGTATGCTCAGACAAACAGAAAAATGAAAGAGCATGCTAATGCTATCACCTCGTGCTGGAGCGGCCTAACCAGGACCATGCTCCTGTATTTATTCAGCATCTCCTCGGCAAAAATGCTGACAGATCCACTTTTTGCTTGTTTTCAACAGCATGCGCGGAGGTCGTGCACGATCATGTTGGTGTGCTACTAGCTTTTTTCTGGGTGATAAATTCTCACAGGCACGGCTGAAACTGTGGGAGAAATTCTGGCTACGGTATCACCCACACCTGTGGCTGATGGACCGCTCAACATGATGCAGTGGATAGGTATTTTTCGATCGGACCACCGGTCCGGTTTGGGCTGCATAATTCCTTTATATAATTGTTCGTAAAAAGGATGCGACGCAGGTAGAAGTACCTGTAGCAAGGACCGCATTCTCTCTACCGAATTCTCCCGATACACCCGTAGCTATGTAGACTTTTTTAACAAAAAGAAAAAACTCAAATAAAGATAAAGATGAACGCAAGATTGATTTGGAACCCCGACAGACGAGACCTTTTAACAAGTATCGCAAAAAAAGACGACACAGACACTGGCATTGAAACTGCTCCCATTCTTAGATATGATGTTGGATCATTCATAGCGCTTGGCTTGCCTACGTCCGACACGTCTGTCATGAAGAAGGATGCTCTGATGTTCTGAATTTCTTATATAAGATAAGCGAACAGCTGCATGACGACCACGACTTTTGTAAAAGCGCGATCATCAATGGAAATCTTGACAAACGTCGTGTGCAGCATGTATCTTTTTGCGGATCGAAGTTCAACGCAGTTTTGGTTTTGCAGCTTTTTCTTTATAGATACAACTTTCAGCCTAGAAGACACATGTAGGAGCCGGTGTGTAGGTGAGTTGCAACCACTTACCACGTAGCGCATTGAAGACCATTGGCCCGCCGTACTAATCGTTCTTGTGCAGAAAGAACATGAATTTCGATAGAGTTCCAGTTCTACAAACAAAAGCACCGAGCTCCGCAATAACTTCTTGAAATGATGGACTACTTTTGCTGGCTTGTACTCACTCCTGGTGATCTACGCAGGATCACAACTGTATCAGGATCATCTCCATATCTCTTCTTTGTTAATGCCAGGTTTTACGCCATACCTTAAAAGAGTTTTCGCTTTGTTTATTAGAAAACCGCGGCGCACGAGATCTTCATTTTACTCAGATCGATTTGCTATATTCTAGTGCTACCTCTGAAAGACCTCTTTGACGTTTTTGTTTTGAATTAGAGACGCACGCATCCTTTAACATGTCGCTGAGTAGCAACAAGCGCAGTCGGGAGGAGGCATTGCTTGAGGATGAGGACGTATGCGAAGAAAAAAGTGTTTTACGGATACTTACTTAATACACTCCTTACGGTTACGTCGTACAACTGTGTGTGTATGTTCTTGTCTTCACACAGTAGAGCACAGCAAACGCAAACCTGTCTTGCTGTTGCTGAATCTGCGAAAGAAAATGAGCGATAATTGCATCCATAAAACACTTTTTCTCTTGGATACGCGGTGGGCGACGAGGAGGATGTTCTTGCTGGCGGGATTCCAGAGGACCTGCCCGACGAAATCGACGAAGAGGAGATTCTGCGCATGCTGGCGCAGGCCGACGAAGTGGAGGTCGAGCAGCTGACGGCGCAGACACTCAAGAAGACCATCCTCACACTGGAGCGGAAACTTAAGGTGAACCAGGAGCTCCGCATATCGAATGCAAATATTCTGTCTGGGTCCATGATAATGCAAAGTTTGTTACGCAAGACATACTAGACGATGCCCCATTGACAAGCTTACACTCAACAATAGCTTGATGAGAAATAGGCATTACGTTTGGTAGTTATGCAAGACAGATCGCATCACAAGTTTGCACATTTCCAGACTAGTTTGCACTGCATACCGCATTAAACACGCCGAGGACCCGGCCGCGTTCGCCGACAGCGAGATCGAGCTATATGACCTGGTCAAACGTTACAATCTCAAAGCGGGTGCAATAGAATCTGGGTTTTGTATTGCATGACGAGCATGACAGACTCGGACAGCCTTGCGCTTTCTGCAATACATGTTGCGGTTTGGAACTCCGGAACTTGTCATGCGCAATCCTATCAGAGTTGGCTAGATCATGCACTTCTTGCATCACATCAAAATCCAGACTCTATATGCAACCATTGAGATTGTAACGTGTGAGCGAGTCATACGCTAAACGAGCAGATTCTGAAGTTGCGGGAGCTGTCGACCGCCCCGGAACTGTACGCCACGTTCCTGGAGTTGAAGGGCCTGCAGCTGCTGCTCAAGTGCATGGCGCACGTGAACACGGACATCGGGCTCTGCGTGCTGGATGTGCTCAATGCGCTCACGGAAACCGACAACTTTTCGGCCCCGCTCGCGGCAAATAATGAGCCGCCCAAGAACCTGCAGAACGGCGGGTCGTCCTCCTCCTCAAAGCCGCAGGAGACGGCGACCGACAGCCTCGAGGTGGGAGAGAAGTTTGTGGACGCGCTGGTCAAGGCAAATGTGGGCGAGATGGTCGTGGAGATGCTGTTACTCATTGCAAACGTAGGGGGATCTTGGTCCTTGTTGGACAATTTTGCATGTACGAAGTTGTAGTAGTCACTACTAGCATGTATTGCAAAAGTTTGTGCTGCACTACTAGTGCAGCACAAATTTTTGCATAAGAGGACCTACTGGGACTTGCATGTGCTATTGCAGGAGTCGAGAATAAGTAGAAAGAGTCACTTGACCTTGCCGATGAACTTGTCTTGCTGGTGTGTCGCAAGTTGCACGACGCCGATACTTTTGCACAGGATAGCGGTTCAGGGTCGACGAAGCACAATCAGAGGAAGACGCTAAGGGAATAACTGACGCCTTCGGCTTATGGAAGTGTCACCAGAATCGAAATTGACAAAATCGAAAAACTTGTGATGCACAAAATCGATGCCAATTAGACCCACAGTTTGTAGTCGGCGCATGACAAATTCTCCTCGTCCTGGAAGCGAATTTGTCATGCGGTTTAGGGCAAAAGAGCTGCCTTCTGTCATACTAGTCAGCAGCCCAACACCTAACCCTTACCAGGACTACAATCGGCCTTCCTTGCATCCTCTGCAATAGAGTCGCTTTTTGCGTAGCATTTTATGCATTACAGATCATTTCGATTTTGTCGATTTCGCTCCTGACACTCCCATACGGTTTCATCGAAAACCTCGTAGAAATAAAACCAGACGCCATTGCCGTGTTTGCTAAGGTACTATACGTACTTACTACTCTAGGACCCTTTGTTGTGGACGCGGGAAGTGCTTCGTAATTTTCCGTTGCTCTACTTTCTTGTATTTTTCTCATACTGTAGTTGTACGAGTACTAGTAGCACCAAGGCCACGGACGGTGTGTGACAAACTGGGGCCAGCAGTCAGGGGCGTATTTGTACTTCTACTTTTTTTGGATAGAGATGCCTATTTGTATTTCGCACACTATCAGATCAAGAAGTTTCACACGTGGCTGCTGAAGCGTATGGATGTGTCAGAGTTGAAATCGACAAAGTTGAAATAATTTGTCATGCATAAAATGGATGCCAGTTGGAGCCCAGTTTTCAAGTGGCGCATGACAAATTTCGGTGGTCCCTAAATCCAGTCTGTCATTCTGTTTAGGCAAAGAAGAGCGATTTTCTCATGCTACTTTAGCAGCTCGAGCTGTAGCCCCAAACAGGCTTACAATCGGCCTCACTTGCCTGCGCTGCTGCACACGTGCCTCGGCTCGTGCATTTTATGCATTACAAATTATTTCAACTTTGACGATTTCAAACCTGGCGCTTCCATAAAGCGGCTCCGGTCCGAGAAAGTGGACCAGAATAAGGCGTACGCGAGCGAAATTCTCGCCATTGTATTGCAGAATAACACGGACGCGCTGGTATGGTTTTGGACAACTCGCCCACGACCCCCTCGTCCGCTTCATCAGCATGTAGACAAGCAGGGCCTATCGTGGTATTATCTTGGTGTCTACTGTACGCTTTGGCAGTATAATTCGCATGACTAGTATTTGACAGGTGCTGTCGTGAAGCACTCCAAGCCGCAGGATGCTTGAGAATTGGCCAAGCAGCGGCTCCACCTCTTTGAACGTGGTCTGTATTACAGTAGACGCAGTTCAAATCAGGGGGGCGGGGAGTTGGCCACGATCATAACCGGACAACTTCGGCGATGGCGTGGAAAAGCTATTGAAGGGCATCGCCGTGTACCGTAAACGAGACCTAGAAGACAATGTGGAAATCGAATACGCGGAGAACATGTTCGACTGTCTATGTATCCAAACTGCAACAAGAATTTGTCTGGGTCTAGTTTTCTGAAGAAATGAGCTTGAACTTCGTTTTCTTGCTTATATGCCCCTGCTACCTACATAGTTTGAAATTGAAGATAACGCTAGCAACGGATTCCAGACACCACCCAAGCGCGACATGCTTTTTTCGGCCTCATTCCGCTGTAACCATCGTAATGAGAAGATGAAAAAATGAGATGATGCGACTTTCTGTTTTTTGCCCGAATTGCTGTTGTACACCTCACCTGCTGCATGCATGTTGACAGAGTCGCCTCTAATATCTTCGTTGGAATGTTGTCGGCGCGAATTATATGTACAATATCTTAAACCCTAAACCCTAAATCTATATCAAATATAAAAAACGGGTAATTTTTGCATACTTTTGCATCGAGATGAAGATTTTCTTCCCACCCGACTGAGATCGATGTCTGTTGCAAAAATGCATACTTTGCCAGCTTTTGCTGCAGGCAAAACACCAGCAGGCTTTTTGCGATGCGCAGGGCGCCGAGCTCATGGTGCGAATCATGAACCGGGGCAGCTACGCGGCCAAACTTGCGGTCAAGCTGTGCGACATGGCCTGCCGGGGACACAAGCAGAACTGTGACCTGTTCGTTATGGCGCTCTCAACTGTTACATTCTCAACTGTTACATGATTTGTCATGCAAAATTGCCTTGACTATCAACGCCATCGAGCTGCTTCGCATGACAAATTCCCAGACGGCCAAAGAGGCTGAGAATCTGTGCCAAATCTGTCATGCAAGACGCGCAAGGTCCTTGCTTTCACTTTTACCATTCTTGCATCACAAATTCATGTAACAGTTCAGAATGTAACGTTTGAGAACGCCATATTCGTGGAAAAACTCGGCCTCAAACCGCTGTTCGCCTTCTTCATGCGCAAGGGGCTCAAGAAAAAGGTAATATTTTGCTAGATCTAGATAGAAGAAAACGAATCATGCCTCGTCCCACTCGAACTATAAATAATAATACTCCAACCTTCTGCACCAGGAATCACTTTAGTGGTAGTGGTGCATTTATTAACGTCCCGTAATGATCTGTTCTACTTCTAAGTTGTTTCTGCGACGTCGGACCTGCAGAAGTAGCAGTAACAAAAATGAGAAGACTAATATGATGAATGCGCTGGCCCTAGTACTTCTAGGGTAAAGCGACATTCATTCTCTCGCACCACAAAACGAAGTAGTTGTTCTAGCCGAGTCGTCTTATAGCCTACTCCACTCCACCGATTTCGATTCCGCAAGACTTGTCGTGGAAAAGTTAAAGTATATCACACTCCTCAAAAGGATTTCGCGGAGTCGGAGGAGTATATTCTCGGCTTGATCCACAGCATCTCGCGATGGTGCTCCGGAAATTGCCAGGCCCGGTTCTATCGCGCGGAAAACTCTTAGCCACGATTTCACAGTTCGCGCAATAAAGAATAATCATGATAGAAGTAGATTCATCATGTTGGTCTCAGCATGATTTGTTGATGTCAGATTTTCCGGTAACAATTTGACCGGATTAATCATTGAATATAAAAAAATGCCTCTGGTGTAGTAGGGCAGGACCAGCAGCTGTGCTGCGGAATAATTTGCAGGCACCCGAGTGCGCAATCACACTGCGCTGCCAAAATAAATCTGAGTGGTCCTGGTGCCACGCCTTGTCCTATGTATTGTATATTGATGAAAAGGCACGGTCGTGTGTGTCAATGCAATGTTGCTAGAAGCAGGCACAGGAAATGCTGCACATGCATTTGGTAGAGCCGAAATTTGAATTTGACTTTATTGGGGATGGTGGGGGGGGGCTACTTTTTTTCCTTGCATCGCTTGATGAATAAGTTTACGGAGAATGGGTTCGAAAAGCTGCAGCGACTGTTTGAAATTCACGTCGAATTTAGCCAGAGGCTCAAGTTGGCGGATGATCAGCGGCAGGAAGGCCGGCTACTCATTGCAGAGGAGATATCACAATGAACTTTTTTCATTTGTGCTCGCACGACAGTGAGTCGTGCCACATTCCTCATCTCCAAGGAAATCAAGGAAATATATGAAAGTCTCGATCTCCTCCACTGTTGTATACGATACCAATGTTTTTTAACGAAGACTTAACGAGGCTGCAAGAGGTAGAAGTGTGCTGTTTTTTTTTTATATGACTTCAAGCCCAAAGCCAAAAATTCGTGTTGAGCATGAGAAATGTGACGCGCTTGCAATATTTTTGTGCCTGATAAGAAATGGAGCTCGACGCCGAGGACATTTATCTGGAAAGGTAGAGCAATGTCTTTTTTTATTCGATGTGGAAGTTTCCGATAAAACCAGATATTTCTCATCAAACAAGCACGATACACGATAGAAACATGAAAGTTGTGCTTGCGAAGATGACGCGGAATGAAAATCAAAATTGAACTCTGTCCTTCATGCTACTTACGCATTCTCCGTTTTGATGCAGGTGTGACGACGGTCTGGCTACCTTGCAGCAAGCCGACCTGATCATCGTGCGACTTGCCAACATGGGAAATCGGCAACTCGCAGAAGCGGTGCAGAGCCTGTTTGGCATCAAGGGCGTACCAAAGGAGGAATTCCGAGAGACGGTCGAGGAGTACTGTTCCCACCTCGACGAAGAGCTGGGCGCAAAAGAGAAAAAAGAAGTGCTCCGCTACCTGAAAGAGGTGGTGCCCGTGACGAAACAAGCCGGTACTGCAAATAACGCGTGAATAAAAAAGAAACTTCTTGTTCCAGTTCCTGCTTTCCGTAAAAATAGCAATGGGCATCCTCGAGCTCGTTGTACTTGTAGCGACCACTATCCTATCGTCCAGAGGACGGTATTATATTCGACTTGGAAAATCTCGCCGAACAACACGTTGTACTGACTTTGCGCAAGCGACTACGCGTACTGAAAAGAATTGCAATGCGTACGGAACACGATAGTACTTGTTCCCTTCACTGTACTTCTTTCACCACCCTATTTGTTCCTCTAATTCTTCATGTTCGGTGTTGACTACATCCTTCATGTTAGCACGCCTAGATCTTGAAGAACAGAAAGTGTCATCATCTCATGGTCTTTGGTACTCTGGTCCGCCTTGACCTCCCCGTGCACTGTAGTACATCGTTACAAGTTTCATTTCGCGCCATCGTTGCACTATGGAATCATCATCAAAGATATCGTATGAAGCATCTCCGCCAGCGCCTTCGCCCCATGCGTACTAAAAAATTTTGGCTTTCAATATGATAAAACTAAAATTCACGACGCATTAATGTGCTGTCCTCGTGAGATTGATCATCTCTCTCTTCAATACGTTTCGCTTTTTGGCCGGCTGCAAATAAGGTGAATGAAAAAGAAAATTAAATCAAAGTATTTTCACAACTACAGTTGCCGCTGTCCTCGATGAAGCAGTTGTTTTATTTGACGATCTTATTTGCATCGGTAGGCAAAGACAAAGTATTTACGTATTGAATAGGTGCTAACTATAGGTTAACGCATTACTTACTTATTCCAATCGGAGAGAGTAGATTTCGATGGCGGACTTCTTGATTCCTGCCCCTGCGACCGGGGCGGGTGAGCTGGACGACGAGGCACAAAACGGGCGGCGCGTGAACATTTTTCTACAAACAAATAACTACCACTGGCAGATGGCCCTGCCAACCGACCGCCTGGAGAGCCGGTACGAGAAGCTGGGGCACCCGATCGGCGAAGGCACGTACGGAACGGTCTGGAAAGCGAGGCTGCGAACAACAGGACATCTTCCCCGGGCCCACCACGGCGGAAGGAGCAGAGAAGATGCAACTACAAGTAGGAGGTCCTTCGACGTCCTGCGCGGTCGCAAAGCAGAACAAGGGCACCAGCGACCTGGTGACGTGCACGAAGACCAGCCATCGCCGCAAAGCCGCCGGGTGGAAGACGCCGGGCAGCAGCTCCTGGGAACAGATCTTCACGAAGTTGTCCCAGAGGACGAGGAGAAAACTGGAACGGCCAACATGCAGCTTTCGTCGGATGATGATCAAGATGACGAGGTGGGCGGCGATGATGAAATGGTAAAAGAAGAGGAGGAGCACAGCGACGTGCAGGCCCACCAAGCGGAAGTTGTACAGAAAGCAGAAAATGATCTTTCCCAGCGTCCAAAGACGAGCACCCTCGAACAACATCAAGAAGCCCGTGCAGGAGCCCGGACGGCAGCTTCGCAAGAGTTGCTGCCCGTAGAGGTGAAGCAACCAGAACATCAGCAGCAGGAGCAGGAGCAGCTCCCGAATGAACAAGGTGAAGCCCACACTGCGAGCACCATCAAAAGCGCCGTTGCTCCTGGTGTGGATTTGACTTTTACTGCGACATCAAAACAAGAAGACAAGCTCAAACCCACTACAACTGGAACTGCTCCTTCCAACCGCGAGCCGGATGAAGCGAAATCATCATCTGCGAGGACGAGAATGGGCAGTTCTTTGTTCGCCATGAAAAAGGTGAACCTGCGCAACGAGAAAGAAGGCTTTCCGCTGTCCGCGATTCGCGAGATCCGGCTGCTGCAGCGGCTGGACCACCCGAACATCGTCCGGCTCAAGGATTTATCAAATGTAAAAATGTCTGGGTCTGGAAGATTGCGAGGTTTGTCATGCTTGTCTGGCATGACCAAAAAGTTTGTGATGCGTGTCCAAGAAGAGATCCTTTTGCCTGTCATGCAAAAACGCATTTTGTCATGCGAAAAACGCAACACAAAGAAGCGCAGATATTTCTCATGCTTGGCTGTGCATTACAGAGCATACACTATTCCCAACGCAGCATCACAAGTTTCCAGACCCAGACATTTTTACATTTGATAGGATTTGGTCTGGTCCGAGCAGGAGAAGCAGAACCGGTGGAAGGGGGTGGTATGACCTGCTCAGTTACAATAGAATCTGGATTTTGTCTTGCATGATAAGCATGACAGAATCGCAGAGCATTCCACTTTCTGCAATACAAATTTCGCTAGATTATAATTCTAGTGCGGTTTGGGGCTCCGAAGCTTGTGATGCGCCATCCTGTGGGAGTAGGGTACATCATGCACTTCTTGCATCACTAACGTTTGAGATTATAACACCTGAGCAGGTTATAGGTGGTGCACCTCGTTTTTGAGTTTGTCGAGCACGATTTGACGGGCTTGCTGCTGTACCGGAAGCGCATGGTCTCGCTACCGGAAGTGAAAAACATGGCGACGCAAATCCTGAGGGGATTATCCTTCCTGCACGGCCGCTTCGTCGTGCACCGAGACCTAGGGATTGCAAAAATGTCTGGGTCTGGAAGAGTGCAAGACTTGTCATGCAGGTTTTCCATGAGCCAGGAGGTCTGGTATGAAGGACATAGCATGACAGATTTTGCGAGAGTTCTATCATGCCTATCCTGCATGAGAAACTGCCTCTCGATTAGGTCAAAAGTGGACAGCTCCTGGTAATCATGCAACACAGATTTTTACATGATTCAGATTTAGCATGACAAGATGTTTTGTTCCAGACCCAGACATTTTTGCATTTGATAAGACCTCAAGCTGAGCAACATCCTGGTGACGAACGGTGGCGTACGGAATTGAAGCAGTCTATGGATGTGTCAGGTTTGAAATCGTCAAAGTTGAAATAGTTTGTCATGCATAAAACGGATACCAGTTAGACCTACAGTTTGTAGTCGGCGCATGACAAATTTTCCCGGTCCTGGAAGCGAGTCTGTCATGCGGTTTTGGGCAAAAGAGCTGCCTTCTGTCATGCTAGATAGCAGTCCAACTTTTGACCCTTACCAGGATGATAATCTGCCTCCCGTGGGTCCTCTGCAATAGATTCGCTTTTTGTGTCGCATTTTATGCATTACAAATTATTTCAACTTTGACGATTTCAAACCTGACGCTCCCATACAGTCGTCTCATGTGCGATCTTCCAGGTTTGGAACCGATTCTGGTGTTGTACTACTTGCCACTTAAGTATTAGTTTGATCGCCGTAATAAAACTACAGTAAGATGAACGAGCACGCCTAAATTTTTTTGATCACCGAGCACGTAATGGAATTGTAAATCTGTTGCATGTTCTTCTTCTTGACAAGTGTTCTGCAAAGAGAAGTTCCAGGCTCAGACGTGTTTTTCTATTCCTCCATACGATTGCCTCAAGCTTGCGGACTTCGGGCTCAGTCGGTACTTGGAGGATCCGGCGACGTGCCCAACCGCGGTGCTGCCCCCTCTCAGCGGTACAGCAGTCGCTGCTGCGGCTACCGGTAAAAATGCGGGCGCGATCTCGACGGGGACATCTCATGCTGAAGATGACGAAGCTGCAGTACATGACGCACCTGTTTTAAGTGTAACAACGCCTGGTGAGCAGAACGTTGCTGATAATAATTTATTTTCTAATACCGGCGAGGAGACCACATCAGCCGTTCACGTCCATCCCCGCCCGCGGAGCCGCACCATCGACACGCTGCTGCCCCAGCGCACGAACCGCGTGATTACACTCTGGTATCGACCGCCGGAGCTGCTGCTCGGTTGCAAGGTGTACGAATACGAGGTAGATGCTATTCCGGGTAGATCAAACGTGCCCATTTCGCGTTCAACAACGCACAGTCGTGAAGTCGTCCGTTGTAGTTCTACTACACAAATTGATACCAATTTTTTATGGGCGGGGGTTTGGTTAAAGTTAACTAGCATCAAAACCAAAAACCGAATGGTTCTACTGCGAGTTAAAGTAGTAGTTGCGCATCACAAGAAGATGAAGAAATTGGCTACAACTGCGCGCCGGAGGTGCAGCAGAGGTGCTTAGCACCATCTAGCATGGCCGTCACAGCGAGCTCGTAGTAGGGCAAGTTTGGCTTTCGTAAGCGTAGGGAGTTGGAAATAGCGTATCGTGCGCTTCTTCTACAAACTGCCACGAAACGTGATGCAGGTCGTTGTAGGAAAAATGCGCATCCCCCCGCCATTCCCATCTTGTACTTGAAACGCAAGTCTTCATCATGACAGACACTAGCGCACGTCGGTCTCGGTGTTCGTTATCATCTGGCGTCAAGACTAGGAAATAACTGGAGACGAGGATATTCGGCTCGTTTGCTTTACACTGGATACTCCTCTGGTCGGCCGGGTGCGTCATTGCGGAGCTACTGATCGGCCGACCACTGTTTCCGCTGGACAACGAAAAGAAGGTGTACCAAAAAATCAGCGAGTTCTGCGGGCACCCGAACCCCACGACGTGGCCCGATCTGTGGAACAAGCCGACAATGTACCCCTTGCGTGGCGAGTACCTGGTTGGTACGGGCGGGGGCTCTGGTGTGGGTTCTGCGTATTATCATGGCAGTTTTTACGGCGGGTCGTCGCGCAGCGGGACGGCCGCTGCAGTAGGTGGAAATTCGCAATATCACTACTTGGATCAGCAGAACAAGCACAACTACTACAACAGCAACCCACAGATGAATTATAAGAATCCTCAGCAGGGCGGTGGGTCTTCATCGAGTCGCAAGCGCTCCGCCTCCGATCGGGATATTGATTATCCTGGGAGAACAATAGGTGATCTTCGTGGGCCCCCGCCACCACCTTCAAAGGACGTCGATGCTGGCGGCTATGACCACCACCAGCCTAGTACAACTAGTCGACAAGCGAGAAAAAGAAAGCCCAACAAGTACAACTACTCCCTGTTTGACATGAATCCCCTGATTCTCGACGAAAACGGGCTGCCCGTGGTGCAGACGGGGGAAGAACAACCAGCAGACGGAGAGCAAAGCGACGCAATAAATCTGGAACCCGCCTATGACCTCGAAAGTAGAACTACCCGGGCGGACCAGAAATTCGTCGCGGAGCACGAAAACAGCAGCTCCCTGTTCCACCACAGCGAAGACTTCCAGAGTGAGGACGAAGAAACGCCGTTCGAGGAGTGCTTCGGCACCGCCAATGCGGTGAAGAGCCGTTTCATGGCGCAAATGCTCAGCATGGACCCGACCAAGCGGGAGGTCTGCGAAAGGATCCTGGACCACGAGTTTTTGCGCTCGCACCAACCTCTGCCCTGCAAAAACGAGGAAATCAAACTGAACAAATTCGTGCACTGCCACGAGCGGTCAGCAATCAAAATCAAGGAGAAAGAGAAGCGGCAGCGGGAAGCCCGCGAGGAGCTGGCGAGAAAGAGGCAACGTCGCTGGGAGCACTGATGACAACGAAATCTTCAGGTGGTTGCGATTTTTATTGTGTTTTCGGTATTTTTTATCCGGTCCTTTTCGTCTTCTATGACGCGACGTTCCCTTACGAACAAGTACGTACCTCTACTTTCTGTGGAACTTCTGTAGCTTGTTTCTTGAACAAAGCACAATACGACGAATCGATCCCGAATGTGGGCCTGGGCCTGCTCGCCCTGGATCATGGATGTCTTTATGGACCTCGTTCGACATCGACTCCCGACGCTGTTCGAATAAGTGGTATCTTGATCTTCCACATCCTCGATGCATACGTGCAAATCGTACCACAAGAACCACAGCCAGATAGATAGTGAAGAACATCAACCATCGTGGATGAAATTAAACTCGATTCTAGATCCAAGATCCGTGCGTAGCCACCTACAAAGGTGGCTGCGAAGCCGCTAAGTACCTTCGTTGCCTCTGTTTGTCGTTGTTCCTTCTCGTCCGTCTTCGTTGTTATTGAATGGCATCAACATGTAAGTACATGATGACTTCCCAGTCGCAGTCGTGCTCCTGAAAGGCCACGTACGTTCGATTCCGAATCTCAAAGGTTTATTCCCGAATATGGTCGTACACAGCTAGACTGCTACTCGTCCTTCGCCGTCCTGTGTACGATCGCAAGAACATTGTCGTGCACATGAAAGATAAATGCGTGGCTACGTGCTGGTCTTTCATCGTTCATGTCTTATTCGTTCTTGGTAATTCTTTGTACTATATCTTTACTTCTGATCATCATCATTATACTGTCGCGAGAATAACAGTCGTTGTGGTATTGTCTCAGAACTCCCATGTCGATAATTCTGTAATACCCCCGTTGCAGTTGTAGAGTTACTTCCTAAGTAGTCATTTTCGCTATTCTCTACAATTTTTCCCACTCATTTTTGCCCTGTGGCTGGCGATTGCAAAATTAAGAACGCAGGTAATACTAATATGTAAATTATTTGGTACAACGATGAAAGATGTTTACCAAAATTCTATTCCGCTTCCGCTCGCTTTACGACCAATGTGGCCACAAGAACTTAAAGTTGTGCTGAAATACCAATCCCGCTAAAAAGGGTTGCGTCCTGAAAAATTATTCGCAAGTACATCAACCGATATTTATCTTCTTCGTCTCACCCAAGTAACGCTACAGCTACACCTTGAGGTGATCAAATAAGATGGTTTTCCTCCGGAGCCACGTGAAGATCATTCCGGGTCTCCGGGAGCTTGACCTCCAGCGCAGTTCTGACATTGACACCGTCCCGGCTGACGGTCACGAGTGTTGTGATGTTCCCCACGTCGACGGCTTTTCTTCAGAAGGACTCATCGACGCAAAAGAACTCGAACAAGGGATGTTTTCCACGCCGCGGTCTGTTGCGACCACACCGGAAGACACCGAGGATGGTGCAGCTGACCAAGGAGAAGAGGAATTCTTTTCTCCCAGACCGGCACCCGCTGATAGACAGACGAACACCTTGAGCACCGAGAATTTTGCGGTTGGACGGCGAAGTGAGGTGTTGGTACTAGGTCGTTATGGAGGCGATGGACTTGTGACTGACAAAGATGAGAGGAACCGCAAGAACGACAGCATTTTTGCAGTGAACGTTGGGAAGGAAAAAGCAAAGGACCTAGACCAGGTCTTTCCACATGAGCGGCAGGAACGTCAAGACCTCTCGTCCTCGCGAGGACAAGTAGACGATGAAACACTAGAAGATGAACAGCAGCAAGAACAGCACCCTGTGGTCACGATTTGTCTGCAGGACGGCCGGGTTTTGCAATCCGTCGCGGAAGATTTCCATTTGACGGATGCTCCTGCTGTGGCTTGTTTTGCCTCAGAGGAAAAAGATGTCACAGGTGTAGACCGGAGTAGAACACCAAGAAACACTAGAATTAGTACAACCCAGCCACGCGGCGGTTATGGAAGTCCGAATCGTGGCAGTGCAGTTGCTAGCGGAGAGAACAAGAAATGCGGTCCTGTGAAGATCTTTCGCGGCCTGCAAAACCTCGGGATCACCCCGGAGTCTGCAGGCAAGCTGAGAATCGACCGGACGAGTGGTTGTAGCAGAAAGAATCCGCACCTAAATAGTAGTAGCCCCCTCTGCAGGAAAAACAACACTCGTCAGGAAACGCCTTCTCCCCCTTCCGCTCACCGCGTGACCGTGTCTGTGGGCAGTTCGCTGGACCACAACGACGTGGTTGTTCGGGGACTGGGCGTCGCGTCGCACCACTGCCAAGTTTTCTTCGAGCGAAAACACGTGCACGTCGGGGAGGAGCAACTGTTTCTGAACTTGAGGCCGGACGAGGAGGAGGAGGACGACGACGATGACCCCGGGACGAGCCAACAAGAAGTCGTGGAGGACTTGGACTACCAGAACAACTGCACCATGAGTTGTAGAAGAACCAAGTCCAGAAATAAGCACTGGTTTCCTGGGAAAGTGACTGTGAACGGCGATCCGGTGCCGTTGTTTTCCGTTTTGAAGCTGAATCTGGGCGATATTGTGGTTTTGGGATCCTTATGGATTGCAAAAATGTCTGGGTCTGGAAAGATGCAACTTGTCGTGCGCATTTTAGAACAATGAAAAAATCTGTCATGCACGGGGAGCAAAAGTTAAAGTACTTACTTAGCCCTTTTTCTGGTCTCCGAAAGAATGGGTTTGTCATGCGGATTAGACATTGAGAAACCTGCTCAAAACCTGTGTTGCTGGGGCTTGCATGACAGACCTTCTGTGTGACGCCGACTCTGCATCACAAAAATTTGCAATCTTCCACACCCAGACATTTTTACATTTGATAATCCTCGGTTTTCCTCCAGGTCGTGGACTTTCAGGGTGGCGACGGAGGTCCTGGTGGTCCTGCCCTGGGAACAAGCAGGAAAGTTCCCACTTCGACGGTGGACGTCGACCAGGCAGGACTACTACGGGAAAGTGCGCCAGTGTGCCGGACGTTAGCGTTATCCAACACCACTCCAAGAACTTCCAGGTCCGTCTCGCCGGAGCGGGTGACGGTGACGACCGGGCCCTTCGTCAGCGGGAAAAAGGCAATGACATACTGGACCAGGAAAAATAATAAACCCCCGGCGCAGCAGGTGTCCGTCACACATGTTGACTCCGAGAAGCCTGAAGAGGTTGAAAAATTACCTGTTCTAGCAGAATTCCAAGTAGCGAAGGCCCAGTATCAGACGGCTAAAGCGCAGTTTTATCGGAATTTCTCCTCTCCGATCGCCATCGGCGCCGAAGAGGCGAACCAGCTGTCGCAGGAGCTCCACTTGAAGGACCTGGTGCCGCACTACGAAGTGGTGTTCGGTACAACACACCAGAGCTGCTCTTTCGCGAAGGGCGTCAAGGTGTCATATCAGCCGCGGCTCGCTGGCGTGGCGGGAGTTGCGGCGCTGGGAGCAGGAGTCGTTGGTGTCGTATCCGATACGGACGTAGATCTTCAGGAAGGTCGCAATAGCGTGCTGGATTACACATTTGGAGGCGAGATACAACAGGATCATACCGATGGAGATGAAGAACCCACGAGCAGGGTTCTTTTTCCTGGTGGACCACCTCCATCGTCTTCTGAAATAGCGAAAGAGATAAAAAACAAGGACGACGCATCTTGTGCTAGAGAAGAATCCTTCCACACCGCTGCGGAATTCCTTCGCGTCGTTTTGCCGCAGCTCCGTCGCGCACACGCAGGTATGCTGCGCGACCAGCTGGCCGCGAATATTCTCACGTTGAGTTGCTGTTGGGAAGAAGCAGATGAGCAGGTGGGAAGCGAGGTGGGAAGCGGAAATGTGGACGTGGAGCTTGTTGGCGGGTTTGAATATAACCTTGTTCCGCCCCTCTCAGGAGTACACCTAGACTCGGAACAGGCGGCTTCATCAAATTTTTTTCCGGCGGAAAGGAAAAGAACTGCTCCAACCACGTCATTTCTGCCGACGTTTGGTGCTCCTGTTACTTCTACCCAGCATGTTGAAAACGAGCCGGAAGAGGGTAGTTCTGAAACACAGACACGGCTCTTCCGGTATAATCCTGCAGAACAAGAAGTAGTTGCAGCAGCAGCGAAAGGAGGAGCAGAGGTGGTAGCGACACAAGACTCGCCAGAGCAGGAAGAGCAAGGGCCTCCAACAAGACCTGGATCAGTAGATGCACCTGCTCCAGTTGACGGTACTTGTGAATGTTTTTCTGGCAGCTTTGGCTACACACTGCATTGAGATTGGCTTGTTACGTTCGAAGATGGAAGTTTACTGTTTGATGTCATTCATAATTACGGATGCCCCTCGGCGCATCATTTTCGAGTAAGTGACGGAAAGGACTAGACTTATATGGAAAGGGCTAGCAGATCCCTGGTAAGCTAATGCAA